TCAGGTTTTTTTCTCCCGTAAGAATATAAGCACTTTGAAGACAGGAACCACATTTTTGCCTTTCTTTGTATCCTCAGTGCTTAGCACAGTGCCTGGCACATAGTAGGTACTTAAATGCTTGTCAACTTAAATAAGAAAAATTCATTTTAAAAGCTTTATTTACGCCAATTAGAGGATGCCATCTTATTTTATCTTGACTGCAAATAAGTCAGGCTCTTATTTTGAGAAGTTTTACATTTTAAGTGAAGGGAACACTTTAGGCAGATGCTTTATTCTCTAGGACTATCCTTGACAGGCTCATTCTTCACAGTCAAACATCTCTCTGCTCATTATACCAGATAAAAAAGTCTCAAAAGTTCCTGTAGGCCAATTAATTCAGCCAAAATCATCAGTCCATGTGATGTCCATATGGGGAATCACATCACCTAACTCTAGCACAGACTGCTCACAGCCCTCTCCACCTGCCTTCTGCACTTGCTTTGGAGAGGGTTGCATATTTTAATATTTTAAAGCAGTGTGGGTTTCATTTAAAGTAGGCTTAGTCCCCAGAGCTATCTGAAAAGTAGCCTTAAAAAATCAAAGAAGCATGCTCATGGCTGTAACTACCATGGCAGCAAGCAAAAAGGGGAAACTTTCAACTGAGCGATTTAGATGGGAGCTTTCCAGGACACTGCTGAAATCTGACTGAAAGGATGCTTACCAATGGAATCTGGGTTACCATGAGCCAGCTTTCAAAGGGCAGGTTCTCCTAAGAACAAGTTCTGTAGCGTCCCATTGGGCGCTTTACAAAGCACTTTTCCTTACAACATCCCTAGGGAAGCAGGTGGGGTGGAAGCCGTCACCCCTACCCTATAGCTGGTGAGGTACAGGGAGGAGTCTTTGGTCACACAGCTGGCAAGTTCAGGAGCCAGGATCAAAGTCTGCTGACCCAAAGGCTGAACCCTCCCCATCACCCCACACTGCCTGCTTTAGTTCTGGGTGGGGTCAGTCCATGATCGTGTGATGATTGCGTGCCTATTCAGCAGGGTGCTAGATGAAATGGTCGCTAGAAAATGGGGGCCAAAGAAGATGGTAAAAGATGGAAAAAGTTAGTGGTGGAGGGGCTGTGGAAAGGCAGAAACCCCAGGAAACTCTGGGTGGAGAGGACAACGGCTTTTGAATCAGTAATTTGGATCTGGCTTGATGATCCCATTCTGGGACACCTGCCCCTTGGGAGATCAGAGACAGGAAGGAAGGCCGAAGTATTTATAGCAGCAATAGTGGAGCAGCAAAAACAAAACTGGGGGAAAATGGGTGTGCGTGGATCGGGTAATAGCTGCAACAGCCACAGTAGGTCACAGAGTATTAGATGCTAGAAGAAATGATGAGAGGACTTCAGACACAGCTTGGGCAAACCCTGAGAAAACGGAGGCCCAGATGGAAGTGACTTATCCAAGGTCACCTGGAGAGTAAATGATAAAGGCAGGTCTTGACTCCTAGTCCTCTGACACCGTGGGCACTGTGCGGCGCTGCTGCCCTGCCCTCGCATCCCAGAGGCTCAGAGATTGAAGACCAGGGATTTCAGAGGTTGTCCAGTCCATCGCTGATGTTTGTGGAGTGCCTGGACCAGCCACTCTGCCATCCCACTCCCCACGAGCCAGCACTCAGAAGTGACCGAGATGTGCAGCCTCCACTTTCGCATCGTTCTCGGGATTCTGCCGCTGTGGGCCGGTTGTCGCTTTTGCCACGTCCACGGCAGCAGTTGTGTGCGTGGTCGTGTCTTGTGCTTCTGTCTCACTTTAGGGTTGCTTTAGAAACCTCTTCCTTTCCTCCTTTAAGTCAGTGATTTGTGCCTCTGATTAATGTTTAAACTCCTTTTTATTAATATTTTTCTTTTTTTTTTGGCTAGGCAGTGGGGTTAAGTGACTTGCCCAAGGTCACACAACTAGTAAGCGTTATGTGTCTTAGGCCGGATTTGAACTCAGGTCCTCTTGAATCCAGGGCCAGTGCTCTATCCACTGTGCCCACCTAGTTGCCTCTGTTTAAACTCTTGATGCTGCTTCTGGGCGCCTTACCCATCCTTACCTTAGTTTTTCTCCGACCTCCTCATTTCACAGATGCGTGACCGAGGTCATCAAGGGCTTCCCTAAAGCTGACATTCAAAACCCCAGGTTCCCAGGCGTTGAAGGAGCCAATGTTCCTTCCATTGCCTCGCGCTGCCCCTACTGATGAAATATATGTGTATATAAAGGAAAGAGACTGCAGAGAGCGTCTATGGCCCCACCTGTGTAAGAAAAAACAGCCCTAAAAGCCCAGAGTTCAGCTCCATCTAGCCAGGCTCCTTTGCAGAGGAGAGGTGGTGGGCTACGGGTTTGGAATGAAGCATATGCTGTGAAACGTGGTCAGTGTGTCTGTCGTTTTGCTTAATTACCCTTAGTTTTAAGTAAGGGTTTGACCAGACCAGGGAATTGGCAAGTGATGGCGATATGAAGAAAAATGTAAAAAAATATGAAGAGAAAACCAATAAAAATCAAACTCCAAGGCATTAGTCAAATAATTCTGCAGGGGGTGCTGACCTCAAGTAACTTGAAAACTAGTTGGGACATGAGACTAACCCACAGGACATGGATGGAACAATCAAGAACATGTGGTGATGAGAGGAGATCACAAATTAACACTGGTCTGAACAGTCCAATTTAATTTATCATCATTATTATTAAATAGAGACATAGGGTGCTATGGCACCTAGAGAGCTGGCCTCGGAGCCAGGAAATGGACCGGTCAACAAGTGTTGTTCAGTTTGTGTCAGGGACTGTGCTAGCAATGAAGACCTGGGTTCAAGTCCTACCAGAGACACCTGTGCGTCATGTGACCCAATCATTTAACCTCTCAGTGATATTGGCGACTGTCTTAGGTTTGTCTCTAACCTGCAGAGAAGGAGCTGATCTACATCAGTGGAGAGATTTTCCTCGCTTGGGATGTCAGCAAAGTGCATGTTTTCAAATATTCCTTTGGGTCATTGTGAACCTTGCTTGTGCTTGTCTTCTGGAGAACTGGGACCTCAGCCTCCCCTCCCCCACACGTGCAGATGAGAAAACCAAGGCCAAGAGCCATGAGTTGGCTTGCCCAGGGTCCCAGAGGGTAGGAGGCAGAGTCAAGCTGTGAACCCAGGTCCTCCAGCACCAGACCAGCGCTGTCTCGTCTCTCTTTGCATGCCAGCTATTGAGCTACGAGTCAAACTATGGTCAAGGGGGCCCAACCTCTTCCTAGCTGAGGGGTCCAGTTCAGGTGAAGCGAACGGCCATTTTCATTATAACCGAGTCATAGTGGGGGGAGGGGACAGGTACGTGCCGGGCATTGCCCTAAGCACTTTACAAATACTTTCTCACTTGATCCTCACAACCACCTTTCAAGATAGGTGTCATTACTGTCCCCATTTTACAGTTGAAGAAACTGAGGCAAATGGGGTTGAAGTGACTTTCCCAGGGACACACAGGTAGTAAGTGTCTGAGGCTGCATTTGAACTCTGGTCTTCCTGGCTCCAGGCCTCTGGCTGCCTGGTGTTTCCCGTTTTTAGGGGAATGCCAGTGCAAGCGTGGCTGTCTCTTAGATGCTCTGGGTAATTTGGCCTTGCCATACCTGTATGGTATTTTACCTTCACACACGTGAGTGGCTTGTGCTCGGTCAGCCATACCATGTGTATGAGGTAGCGCTGGAATCCAGGCCCTGCTCACCCCACCCATTAGGCTGGGTGGAATCTGATATGGAGGTTCTGTAAGCCGCTGTGAGAAGCCATTGGTCTCAGTCAGATTTGTCTCATGAGCTGCTAATAATACACACCCCATCTTCATGAGCAGAACTCAAGGACGTGGGTTTTATTTATGAGAATTTTCTGGTGGAATCAAGAGCCTTGAGTTTCCCAGACATAATCATCAATTGCTGCCTGTCAAGACCTCATACTGGAAATTTGACAGAAAAACACAGAGGTCATTCTGTCACAATGGGCCTCTGCATGGAGAATCCTAAAGCTGAATGAAAGATTTCCACTTATTTAAAGAACCAAGAACCACAAAGTTTGCCCTCCCTATGCTCTGAGATTTGGAGTATTAAAACAATGAAGAAACCAGCCCGTGAAAATCCAGAGGGTTCATTTTGAAAGGTGAGAACAATAGGTTCCATCTAAGATGGAAATTAATAGGGATCAATGTAAATTCCATCATAGAAGAGAATGTGGAGAACGAGGTGAGAAAGAGCTGGAGTGTGAGGGCTCCATCACCCAGGATGATGGAGCCCTCACAAAGCACTGCTCTCCCGGGCTATGACCGGAATGAGGGCAGTCACAGTTCCTTTGTGCTGTGCTCAGTTTGGGGAGGGGAGGGATGGGTCATCTGGATCTGCTCCAGAGGAGGGCAACCAGGATGTCGAAATGACTCAGACCTCATCATTTAAGCACTGCTCCAAGGAAATGAGGTTGCTAACCTGGGGAAGAGAGAGTGGGAGATTAGGGGTAAAATGGCAACAGTTGTTTGTAGGGGCCGGGCTGGCTGGCTGACTGACTGAGTGCTTAGCTCTTGTTCAAGTATGGGTCCTTTCAACTTTGAGATCTTGTGAGTATGTGATCCAGTATTTCAAGGGCTGTTGTATGGGAGAAGAGCTAAACTTTTACTGCTTTTTCCCAGAGGGAAAGGGACAGACTGGACACAAGGAAGAACTTTTCAACCACTAGAGATGTTTAAAAGTGAAAGTGGCTGCTTTCCAAGGCAGTGAGTTCCCCATTACTGGAGGTAGGACAAGGATGACCAGTTAGGGGACATCATAATGGGGAAGGTTGAACTATATGACCACTGAAGTTCCTTCAGGTTCTCGTAGTTTGTAATTCAGTGGAATCTCTACCTGTGTGGGGTGAATAGGCTAGTCCTTAGGGGGAAAATAGTCAATTTTGCCTTCTAGCAAAGGGGCAGAAATTTTATGCATTTGCATCACATCCCCACGAAAATACTAAAAAGGAAAAATTCTTTTAGGTGCCAAATCCTATCTACTCTCCGTAATTGTTGCCAGAGCCAACTCCAGCGAATATGAATGATATTTCCCAGAAGGCTGAGGTAAGTCTCTGGTTTCAAAAGGGGGAAGGTACATGATTGACTTTCATTGGCACAGCATAGTCCTGGGGCATGATTGATTCTGATATGGTTGGATAAGCTCAGCTTCAGTGGTGCACCATAGTCCTGGTATACTTCCATAAGCTTCTTCTCACTGTATTGCATTAGTAACCACAGTGTCCGTCCACACTCACGGTAGTTGGGATATGACCCTTGGTCCTCCCAGTCACCAGAGGACAAAATGGAATAGGTTTCATCAACCTGCAAATGCTTCATGGACTGACCCAACAATGAACTGGGAGTGAGCTGGGCTAAGAGTAGAGAGACTCTTGACGAGAAGTTTGGCCATATAGGGATGAATTCTGGCCACTTTTGAGTGCTGTCATGGTCTGATCCTAGAATTGGTGCCTTGGTTGATGATAATTTAGCTTCATTTGGTGCCATCAGCATAGATGGGATGGCCAGAACTTCTGAAGATGCTATTAGAGTCAGAATGGCTCAATACACTTTAGAAATGGTTTATTTCAGTTAATTGGGCGTGTTTCTGACTAAATTCAGACTAGTGCTAAGGATGACACAAGTCATATAAATTCCGCGGTATAATTTCAGCTAGGACATGGGGTGACCTGAGTTTTCTGTATAAAAAGACTAAGGCATTGCTCCATAGTTAGACAGTTCATTCCTACATGGTAGCTCTTTCTATTGGCAGCCACAGCAGTACTTTCCCCAGGCCACTGGCTACTGACCATGTCTAAAGGGAAGCTGGGGTGGGAAGGGATGCAGCTACTGGCATATTAAATGAATGAAATGAACCTAAGTTAGGAGAATTTTAAAAACAACAAATTAAATGTTCAATTCGTTTTCCATGTTCATATACAAGCCTTGAAATACAAGTGGATAAATAAAATTCAAACTAGGGGATCACTACTTGTGTGGAAGAGAGTTGGGGGGGGACGCCCAGGGCAGAGATTCTCAGTCTCTTGTGTCATTGACCCTCTGGCAGTCTGGGGCAGCCTACAGACTCCTCAGGATAATGTTTCTAAAGGCAATCAAGAAGTAAAAGACATAGGATGGCAAAGGAAACCGGTTTTGCTGAAATATAGTTATCCAACTATTAGAAAACCAGAACACATTTGTGGACTCCCTGAAATCTTTCCATGAACAGACAAGGGATAGATAGATTCCAGGTTAAAAACCCCTGTCCTAGGGGGTCAAGGGGGGCTAGGAGTTAAATCAGTAATACTTCTAAAGTGCTAAGAAAAGCAGTGTCAAATATTTCACGTGCCATGCCTTTAGTGCTGCAACAGGAGATGAAATGTAGCCAGTCCTTAACTAAAGCAAAGGAGACCTCTGCTTTCTGGATCTTTGTGGGCTTTGCCTGCATTGATTCCACCTGTCAAGGACTCTCACAAAGCTTTGTATCTGATTTTATTCTCATGAGAATTTAGCTTTAGTTATTTGTGTTTCATTTTCTTTTTCCAACTGATCTTTAGAAGGCACAAAGTCAATTACTGCCAGAGGAAACTGAGCTCCTGGACGCATACATATTTTCTGCTTTAAAACGTTTTTCTTTATATTCATTCTAATCTAATCTGTTCTTAATTTTTTCCATCTTTTTAAAAAACTTTCTTTTCTTTCTCTTCATCTAACAAAGATTCTGCTTTCCTCATCTAAACCTGTCCCCAAAACCTATGTGCCCAAACTTGGCAAGGGCGATGTCAAGGATAAATTTGAAGCCATGCAGAAAGCGAGGGAAGAAAGAACTGAGAGGCGATCTAGAGACGAGAAGCAAAGAAGAAAAGAACAATTTCTTAGAGAGAGAGAGTGGAACAGGAGAAAGCAGGAGGTTGTTGGATCTGCTGCCTTTTTTTTTTTAACATTTAATTCGATGCTAAAGATTGTTCATGTTTTAAAGTATTGTTTCTTGTGGACTGAAATGCGTATGATGCAGTGTGCTTAATTTGTACGCTAACTCTTGCATCATGTGTGTAGTAAAAGAATTTTGTTCAATGTCGTATCTTTGTTTGGAGATGATCCTTCCAATGTAATCTCTTTACCTGTCTAGATGAAAGAAATGCTTGCTTCCGATGAGGGAGAGGAGATGTCTAAGGTAGAGAAGGCTTATGTCCCGAAGCTAACAGGTAAGGAGTTGAAAGAATCAGTGGGGAATGGAATTGTAAAGTAAGGAGGCAAAGAGATTAAAAAAAAATTCTCCTCTATTCATAGGAACTGTTAAGGGCAAATTTGCAGAAATGGAAAAACAAAGACAAGAGGAGCAAAGGAAAAGAACTGAGGAGGAAAGAAAGCGCAGAATTGAACAAGACCTGTTAGAAAAGAGGAAAATCCAACGAGAATTAGCAAAGCGAGCTGAGCAGGTCGGTGGGCTCCAGATCCTGGGGTTTGGCGGTGGGCGGCGGGGTAGGGCAAGGGATGGGTGGGGTGGGGAGTTGGGGCAAGGTGCCAAAAAACTAACTTGGGTGTGGAGCTGAACGTTCATACCGGCTATATTGGGGGTGTACATGGGCAGCCAGAAGACTCTGGTGTTCATAATGTCATCACCACCCTGGGAGCAGCCACACTCCAAAGGGACCCAGCAGGATGCTTTAGATCACCTGACACCTAGACGGAGGGCAGAGGAGGGCGGTGTGGACCCCGTATGCTTTCTCAAAGCTTAGTGTGGGCATGGCACCAAAAGGCAGCTGCTGGCTTGGCCATGGGGTCCGTGAGCTGCTCCTCTTCCTGGGAGCCATGCTCCCGTGTTCTCATGCTCCCTCCATGTTCCCTGGGTGTCTTCAAGGATGGGAGGCAGAGCTTAACACAGTGATGATGCCGGGGAATAACTGGTGATCAAACTCACCAGTGCCAGCCATAATTAGACCATATTTGAGCGATCAAATGAATGTCCAATGGTGATTCATCAGAACAGAAAATGCAGCCTGCACTTCACCTTCTGCGAGAGAGCTGAGGAGCTCTGGGCACGGCAAGGCAAAAGAGCGTGTGAATTTGTTCTGCTTGACCGCTCGTTTGTTACAGGGGAAGGTTTTTTTTTTTTTTAAAGGGGGGAGCAGAGTCCCCTCCCCGCCAAAAAAAGAAAAGAGGGTCATCGAGGCTCTCAAAAACTCAGAGAAGAAAGTTGGGAGGGAGCCACAAACAAACAGCATAGCTTTGACATTCGTGTGTTGAATTCGCTCTGCGAGCTGTATGTACAGGGATGTGTGGTTTCCTATACAAGCCTCTTTTTTCTGTTTCTTCTTGTATATGGAAATATTCATGTTTCAATTTATGTTATAACCCAACCCCTCCTCTCCCCGACAAGATACTACAGAGAAAAGAATTCTCATTAGGCTATTCTTAGCTTTTGTGGCAAAGATTTTCCCTGTTTTATTGGGCGTGAGAAGGTGGAGGGCTAGGGTTAGGGTTGCCATCCAGGACCTTTTCTGTAGGGCCCAGTATCATGTGTAGAGTCTAACAGGTGCTTATTGCATTGGTTGTTCCTGGACAAGATGTGATAGTCGGTCCACAGGCTCTGCTCTCACCTCTGGACAGCCAGATTTTGCCCTGAGCAGGGTAGCTTGGTGGTCCTGGCAGAAGAGTCAGGGATCTGGCCAGCTAGCTTCAAGACTTCACCTTTTCCAAAGGATGCGGCAGGTTTAAGTGAGCATTCCCCATTGCTGCATTTTACTGAGATGAGATCTACTCATCAGTTCACACAAAGTTTCAATACAAAGAAGACATTGCTTTCATTTCTAGTCTCAAGACTAGACCTCTTCTGCCTTGACAGTCTCTCTGGTTAGGAGAATAACAATGGCAGAGAAAACCCAGACAGTTTCAGTGGGCCAAATCAAATTTACCTGCCTTTGTCTTGGAAACCACCACTGTCCTTTCAAGGGAGGGTGTCTGGCAGGGACCAGGAAATGGGGCCAGCCTCCTTCTTCTGGCCAGTTTTGCAGCTCCTCAGTGGGAGGGACCCTGGTCAACATTGTCCTCATCTGGTGATGAGGCTGGTCTTCCACTGGACAAGTGTCTGAAGGTCTGCAGCCCTCTGGGAGGTGGGTGGTAGCAGATGAGGAAACAGGCGCAACAGGCCAAGGGTTTCAGAGGGGAAGCGATAGGTGTTCTCCAGTATGTCACAGGCTGCCTCGTCGTAGAAGGACTGGCCCTGGTGGCCCTTGGGCTCTGCCTGGAGGTCTGTGAGCAGAGGCTAGAGGCTACTCACTGGTCATAGAGGGCTTTTCGGTACACCTTGGAGTAGAGGACCTGGAGGTCTCTTTGGGCTCAGAGAATCTGTGCTTCAGGCCCACAGCTGATGTCCGAGCTAAGGCTGGACACTGGATCTCCTGACTCCACGATGAGTCACGGCTGTTTGTTTTCTAACTGCAGTTCAGGGGACCCACAGGGCTCATGGATGGGCTTGGCAGAGCTGGCTGGCTTCAAGAAGCTGTTGGGATGACTTGGGTAGGGGTGAACCATGGGTGCACTGGACAAAGGCAGCCTCTTCTGTGTCTTGAGGCCTCCTGGCTTCGAAAAGAGATGTAGCAATGCCCTGTGGCCCAAATACTTTCCGAAGTGTGTCTTCAGGTGGACGGGGGTGGGGGGAGGAGAGGAAGGACAGTGCAGGGTTGAGTGGGATACTGGCATTGAGGGCTCATTGAAAGAATAAAACAAATTAGGATGTGTGATGATGGAGCTCGAGAACTCCTGAGCTAGGACGTGCTGCATCCTCCCAGGCTGGAAAGCAGGATCATAGATTTAGGAGTCTACCCCCCCATTTTACAGTTAAGGAAACTAAGGCACAGAACAGATGAGTGCCTAGAGTCACATGACTAATAACACATCTGTCCTTCCTGACTCCAAGTCACTGCCTGCTATGGCATCTTAGAGCTTGTTAGAGTCAACACTCTCATGCTGTAGATGAAGAAACAGAGGGGAAGTCGTGCAGAGAAGGAGAACAAGCAGAATTTGAATTCAGGGTCTCTAAGTCCTTGTATAGTAAGAATTCTTTCCATTGCATGCAGTGCCATGAAAAAAGTCTAAGAACATGTGGAAGGTAAAACAAAAATAACCATATCATGCAAATTAAGTAAATATAAAAAGTCAAGTTTTAAGATTGAATTTAAAAATTGTTCTTCTATTCCATTTCAAACAATTTAGTATCATTTGTAAGATACAGAGGTAATTGCATGACATGCATTTGTGGAAGATACTTTTTGCATGAATGAAGAAACATTTATGAAGTACTTCTATGTGTCAGGTAGCCTGCTAAGCACCGAGGATACAAATATAAGTGATCTAGACAACTGTATTCTCATAGGAGGAAACACTGCAAAAAAGCTGTATGGGCCAGCCAAAGACCAGCCAAATTGATTGAATGTTACCTGGCTAATCTGAGGAGTAAGGTTATATAGAGTGGGTTTGAAGAAGAGAACCAAAGGAGACTGAAGGATGTGAAGAGCTAGTTATTTGAAAGGGACGTTCCCTCCCATGCCTAAGGCATCTTTTTACATTCTCCATAATTTGGTCCCTGTCAAAGTAGCTGAACTGCTGCATGCACCACATTGGTGGTGATGATGCTGCCTTGTTGGTAAAAACTCACTGACTATTTGGGAAGGTCCCTTGTTAAAACATCCATTTCATTGGGCTGTAGAAGAAAAGTTGGGGACAACTGGCAGAAGCTGCCAAGGAGCAAATTCAGGCTCCGTGTTATGAAAAACCTCCAGACACTCACAGTGGTCAAGATTGTGCAGGGGTGTGAACGCTTGTGAATCAAGGGTCAGGAGGAGGAACTGAGCATGTGCTGGCAGGGCTTCGAAGACTCAGGAGGACACTCACTATGGCGAGGAAGAGAGGAGCAGACTCTTTCTTCTGCTTGGTCACAGGGGACGCAAGGAACCAAAGTCCCAGGGGGCGATAAAGTTTGGGTGATGAGAGGAAACACTTCCTAAGAATTAATTATTGATGCGAGTGGAATGGGCTGTTTCTGGAGGAGGCACATGTCCCTTCACCGGAGATCTGGAAGAACACTGTTCGGGGAGGCTGTAGCGGGGGTTCCTTGTTAAGGTCTAGGCTGGACATGACCTTGGAGGTAGCTTCCATTCTGAGCTTCTACAAGTCTGTGATAAAGTCCCTAAGAGCTTAATAAATGACTTAGTTGAATTCTTGCTAAGAGCTGAGTTAGTGGATAACTACCCCATCTGCTGTCCAGGGGGCAAATTGTTTCCAAATTATTACTTTATAAAACAAAATACCAAACCCTTTCCCCTTCCAAACCCCTCTGCCTTTCCCAGCTTCTCTGTCTCTTCATTGTCCTCCTGGAATAGAGAGCAATGTTGTATTATTTACACCACTTTTTGTCTTTTTCTTCACTTCAAATTGAGTATTGGGGTCGATCCAATCCATAAGTGTCTTTTGTGGGTCATGCCCAAATCTAGCCCCTCCCTGTGCTGAATTGTTCCTCCTGTTCCCATCAGGTAAATGTGGGAGGGGCCCAGTAACCTTTTTTCCATTTTTAAAGGAATTGTATGAAAGAGTACTCACTGAGGGTAGTTCTGTCAATGAATTGGTTGTACATTTCCAGCATTAAAACTCTTCAAAGACTGGCTTATCTTTTCTCACGGAGGGTCAAGGGGAGTTGATATGGAAGGGTGTATGTATGTCCATCTCAGTTGAAACTAACAAAATTGTTCATTGCTGCTTTGAAGTCCCCTGGACGGTTAGGAGAATTAGACCCACTTCCATTTCCAGAACTTTATAAAGGTAGGCTTTGATAATATCTTAAAGTGTTGCTTCCTGTTAATGTTAATAACAGGAAAAATTATGTTGATGAAAAGCTTTTTTTAATTTCATGGTTAAATCTCATAATGTTAATATCCAATTGCAAAGTATCAATTTGACTTGCTAGTTACAGTTGGAACAGCAGCTCATCAGCCTGTTGGATGAATATCAAAAATAACATTTCCAAAATTTCACATTTGAAAATTTACTGCAAGTATTTTATTTTATTTGATTATTTTTCAATTGTATGTTTGAAAGTCGAAGGCAAAGCACCAACAGAATGTAATGATATGAAATTCTCATTCAATAGATTGAGGACATAAACAATACGGGAACTGAATCAGCGTCAGAGGTAAACACATTTCTTTCAATGAAACATTCACCTAAAATTATCTGGTTCATGAATTTTCTCTTTTTAATGAAAGAAAAATAGGTAAGAAGGGCACTTTTGTTGATGAAATACTTCACCAAGTAAAACCATAGTTTTACATTTTTGAATCTATAGCCAAAAATTATGTTGATGGAAAAGTTTTTTTTTTCCTTTCATGGCTACATCTAAAGCATCAGTTGGCATCAATTATAAATCTGCTGCCTAAGATCTTTGGTTTGAAGTACGCCTCCCAAAAGAAGTGTCTTGCAAATGAACCGTGACCCGCTACGTTTTAGATGATTTCGAGTTCAATATTTTAAAGATATCGGCTTCCCTTTGATCCTTTCGCCCCCTTTATGTAGCATGCCCTCGAGAGAAGTGAATCGGCACTCTGGTTCTCCTGCACTATTAAACGGCTCTGTGTGTTTGCATCTCACACAGTGGAAGTTCACCAACTACCCAATATTGGAGAACCATTCCTTTCCATCCAATACAGAAACCCAACATTCTAACAAACAATTTGATGGTGTTCCCTAGACTGTAAAGGCACAGAGCTGAGAAGCTTTATTTTAAGTGTATGTATCTGGGCTGCCTATCCCCCTGTATTAGATTAAAAAAAAATCAGGGGCAAAACCAGATGGTATGGAAGGAACTAATTTAAGTGACTTGAAAGGAAAACCATTTAAAATCTATTTTTAAGTAGCAAAAAGGCATATTTATAACATAGGATATTTGTTCATAGCAAATCATGTGGAAATATTTTGTGTCTCTTCATAGTAAAAACAACTGTTTATGAACGACTTTAGAATGTGGGCCTCGTAACACATTAGGGAAACACTTGTTTAAGCTCTTCGAGTCACCATCAAATTGGTTCCCAGCCCATTCACTCCGAGGACCCTCTCTTCTGGGCCATCAGTGCATGCATGCGCGGCTGTCGTTTCTGATCGTTGGTCACCCGGTTAGCAACATCTCTGTTCGTTTGCAAGTCTGATGAGCACCCGGGAGTGGATTTCAATAGGAAAAACTAATACACACACACACACACACACACACACACACACACACACACACAGAGCTTAGGAACGTTGATGTAGTTGCTGCAGATAACTGGGGAGAAAAAAAACAACCCTCTTTTTCTTCAAGTTACTGTTTGATAGAACCAGGATGTAACCGATCTGAGGTAGTGGTAAGTCTCCGTGAGACTCAATTTTGGGTGAGAAGAAACATTCTAACAACCAGCTTTACGCACTAGGAAGGAGACGATTCGCTGCTTGTGACAGTGGTGCCTGTAAAATCTCACAAAACACCTGGAAAAATGCAAAAGAGTTTTGAGGACCTGGAAAGAGAACGTGAGGAACAGGAAAGGAACAGACACGAAGAGGAAAAGAGAATCCGGTATGAGGAACAAAGGCGATCCCTCAAGGAAGCGAAATGCCTTTCGCTTGTTATGGTGAGTGTGTCCCGTTCTAGAACAACCCGAGCGGCTCAAAAACCACCCAGTCTGGTCTCTTTGGCGACTAATGGCGGCTCCTTGCCAACTTTCTTAGGATGAAGAAGCAGGGAGCCAAGGCACAAAGGAGTCTCTTTCTCCTGGAAAGCTGAAACTCACTTTTGAAGAAATGGAGAAAGAGAGACAAGAAAAGAGGAAGAAGCAAGCTGCGGAGGAGGCTCGACAGCGCCTGGAGGAGGAGAGACGGGCTTTCGAAGAAGCCCGGCAGCAAATGGTAAAGAGGCATCGCTGGGTAATCTCGAGGGGCCGGAATAACGATACCCCTTCCTGTAAATGTAAAAAATTCTCACCCTGAAAAGGACTGTTTGAGAAATTTCTGTGTGGAAAGACCTAATGACAGTGTTTTAAATTTCATATAACAGTATTCAGAATATAGCAACTAAAATATTTTGAAATCTCATTACCAGTATTATAATTTGACCTGAATGAAAGTATTTTTCACCTTATGAATTCCTTGTTCTAAAGAATCATGTTGCCCAAGAGATGTGAGATTTTTTTTTTTTTTTTTTTTTTTTTTTTTTTGGTGAGACAAAGTCACACAGCTAGTGAGTGTCATGTGTCTGAGATGGGATTTGAACTCAGGTCCTCCTGACTCCAGGGCCGTTGCTCTATCCACTGTGCCACCAAGTTGCCCCAGATGTAAGAAATTTTTAAGTCCAGTATAGATTTGGGCCCTTTAAGACTGTGTCATAATACTATAGTATGGTTGATGGTCAGCCCTGGCCCCCCCCACCATGGAATACAGGTAGGGGAGTAACTTTTCCATTCTTTTTTCCCCATTTTTTTTTAAACAAGGTAGTAGGTTTTCTCTACCTGCTCTTGAGTAGTTTCCTTATTTATGTGTGTCCCAGGTTCTGAGGCAATCCAGGAAGACATTCTGATATTTACTCACAAGTAACTAAAAATGAAACATTGCCTTCATTAATGAATCAATATGCTCAGAGTCTCCACCATGGTTTATAAAAACAGAAGAAATATCTTTTCCCATAAGCCTTTGCTCCTCTATTAGTATCAGATCTCAGTTTCATAAGTGTAGACAAACTTTTGTGTTCCTGACTATATAATTTATTAATATTATAATAATGCAAAACCTATTCACATATTTCAACAATGTGTCAGCTGTGAGAAAGGTCACAGCAGAATCACCACTAACTAGCAGCTGAAGACTCCTCCCTGGACATAGGAGCCTGATTTCTACTGGCACCATTTAGATCTCTCAGTTCTGCCAGTGAGTCAGTCAGTAAATACTTATTAAGTGCCTACTGTGTGCCAGGCACTGTGCTAAGTTCTGGGGATACAAAGAAAGGACCAAAAAATAGTCTGTACTCTCTCTGGAAGGTCACAATCTAATGGGAGAGAGAACATGCAAACAACTAGGTATAAGCAAGCTATATGCAGTAAGGTGTAAGAAGACTGGAAAGGTTATATTCCTTGGAAACTGATATTCCTTGGCAAAAGACTGGATTTGGAAGTGAGAGACAATGATGTCTGGGGGATGGCACCAAGGTTGTGAGCCTAGTGAGTGGGGGATGGGGTTGCCCACCACAGTAATAGGAAAGTTAGGAAGATAAGGGGCTCAGTGTTGGACATGTTGAGTGTAAGATGTCTCCTGGTCATCTAGCTCAAGATGTCTGAAAGGCAGTTGGAGATGTGAGATTGGAGATCAGCAGAGAGGATAGGGTTGGAGAGGTAGATTTGACAATCATCAGCTTAGAGATGATCGTGGAATCCATGGGGGCTGAGGAGATCTCCCAGTGAGACAAGACAAAGGACTGGGTCCAGGACAGAGCTTAATGAACACCCATAACTAGTGGATATGGCCTGCATGAAGATCCCCCAAAGGAGACTGAGAGTGGTCAGAAAGGGAGGAGAGCCAGGAAAGGCAGCAGACAGGGCCAGAAGGAGGAGGGTTGGGGACAGGCCACTGGATTTGGCAGGTAGGAGATTTTTGGTAGCTGTGGGGAGAGCAGTTTCTGTCCAATGATAGAGCCAGAAGTCAGTGTTGAAGGTGAGGAGAGTGAGAGGAGATGAAGTGGGGGAGTCTCTTCATGATGTCTCCTCAGAATCTCAACAGTTAATTAGCTTCCTTTCTTGAAAAGTTTTCTTGCTCCTTTCTCTGTCTCAGTCAGGAGGCTGACTCCCTTTCTCCCCAGTGGTGATTACACTGCCACTTCCCATGGCATTTCTAGCCTCTTAGAACAGTGTCATTGTCCCTCATTTTCTGTGGAAGGTGCTAGTGAATTAGGGGGATGATAAAAAAGAGGAAAAATCAACCGTGACCTTTTTGATCATCAATTTAAAATATAAGTAGAGAGCTATGGGAAAGCCCTGAACCCACTCCTGATGGCCCAGCTTCTAAAGGAAATCCTCTAACTTTCTGGACCCATTGACTTTGTCCTTGGTAATGCCCTTTTCTCCTGAGTAGACAGTCTTTCGGAGGTCTTGCCATCAAACATTTGCACCTTCTCAAGACGAACCTCTCAGCTGGTCCTCTGAGGACAGTCTCAGCAAGAGATCCTTGGGGCCATGCCAAAGGCCTGCTTCTGGACTTCATGATGGTAGGGAGGCTCTGGCTTCTGGGAACTGCCCTGGAGTGAGCAGGAGGGAAAGAAGGAACCTTCAAAGAGACCATTTTATATCATGCAGAAAATTTCTAATTTAGCGATTTTGTAAGTTCTGAGAAGTAGTAGAGACTGGCTTTGGCATCAGTCTGGGTTAATTTCCTCCCCTGACACACCCTGGTTGTATAATCGCAGGCAAGGCTTTAACTTCTTGGTGCCCCCAGGTGATTCTCTAAGGGCCAGTTGCAAAGTAGTGGTCAGTTGTCATCAATGGAGAGAGCTTCCACATTGGGAATTCCCCACCTTCCTGAAATCAAAGGTCAGAAATTTGTGCCACCTCTAACCTTTCCCGTCACCCCCAGGATGTTCTCCTAAAGGATGTCTGAGGTCTAAGTTCCTTTACATTTGACCCCTATTTTTAAATACAGACCTTTGCCTTGGGCAGGTCAATGAAGAGGAGGGCAGCTGTGAAATGGAAAATTCTCTTCGAGAGTCTCATCGCCCGGGGAAACTCAAGCTCAGCTTTGAAGACATAGAAAGGCAAAGAAGAGAAGAAGAGAAGAGGAAAGCTGAAGAAGAAGCCAGGAGGAGAATAGAAGAAGAAAAGAGAGCTTTTGCAGAAGCTAGGAAGAGCATGGTGAGCAGTGGGTATCCCCAGAGAGGGGTGGGCTTGGGGCCCACCCCTGGGATGTACAGAGTTACTGAAAGAGACAAGAGGCAGAGAGAAGTCCAGTAAGGAAAATTCCAAAGGCAGAAATCAGCCCCTTACAGATCTTGCCAAGGGTTCGAGGACCCTCTTAGCTCAGGCAAAGAGTGTGAACACTCCAATTGTTACTTTCTCAGTTCAGGAGGAAGTTTTGGGGTGTGTGTGTGTGTGTGTGTGTGTGTGTGTGTGAGTGAGTGAGTGAGAGAGAGTATATGTACGTGTGTGTGTGTATGTGTGTGTGTGTGAGTGTGTTTAAGGTGGACTGCAAACATTTCCATGTAAAAAAAATGTATTCAAGAGTGTTTGAAACTGATCTGGTTTTAGAAACCAACTTACAAAGAGACCTGTGGATTGGAACACAGTGGTCTACAAAATTAGTGAACAGCTATGAATCATGGGAAAAAGTTAGCTCCAAGGGGCTGGTATCACTGACCCCTTTGATAAAACAAAAACCAAAGACTATCTACTCCTACTTCAGAGCCTTGTTAGAGTCCAGTTGATGTATCTTGGAGTTGATATTGTCCTGATGACCTATACATTAATGGGACAAAATTGTAGAATTGGAAGGCATTGTAAGGGCTATCCACAGTCCAACTTTCCTGTGTCTCTGACAGTTCTCTTTTGAAGATGTCCAGAAGAGACACATTCTTTTGAAAAACCCAATTTTGAAAATCACTGATATAAAGAAAGCCCCTTATTTCTAACCCAACAATTCAAATTTATTTACTAGTGCCCCCTCATTTGGACAGTGCAGTCCTCAACATACCTTCTCTCTGCAGTTGTCCTGAAAGCTCCCAGGAATGTGAATTCAGAAACAAAATGTTTCTCCTTCATCTTCTCTAATCGTTTCTTTCTTGGGGTGTGGTGGAGCAAATAAGGAGAAGTGGCAGAAGTGACTTATTTGTAGATGGCAGAAGTTGGGCTTGAAGTGGTTTGAATGGCCCCAAAGTTGGCTTTCCCACCACAACACCATGTGTGCCTCTCAGTGATCTTTCACAATATGGATTTATCCTTTTCAAAATGCCTCCACCCACGTTAGGCCCTTTCCACCTTAAACTCTGAGATCTTGCCCTGTCCTGAGTAAACTTACAAGGGAGGCAGGGCAAACATTGTTAAATCCACCTTAGAGATGAGGAAGAAAAGGCACCCTGTATGTCAACTGACTCATTCTGGGTCATATAGCTAGAATTCAGACCTGGCTTCCAGTCACTCCCGGGCTCTTTCAACCACAAAAAGTCCCAGTGCCTTTATTTTTAGCATGTATATCATCAAAATTAAGCTTCCCCCTTTTTGATTGGTCTACAAAAACAGTAAATAATTATTTTCAACAGGTCCTAGACAGTGATTCTCCAGAGATCTACAAAACAGTCTCACAAGAATCCCTTATACCAGGGAAACTAGAAATTAATTTTGAGGAGTTATTGAAACAAAAAATGGAAGAAGAAAAGAGACGGACAGAGGAGGAACGCAGGCATAAACTGGAGATGGAAAAACAGGAATTTGAACAACTGAGACAAGAAATGGGGCAGGTAAGCATTTAGTATCGAGACATTTTGGAAACAAGAATACGTCCCCTCTAGGCATCAGTCACAGAGGTGGGAGGCATCGATTTGTAGTTGAGAGCTCAGCCTTACAGTCAGGAGGCTAGGGTTCAAGTCCTTTCTCTGACACATCCAGCGTCTGCTGTGTGACCATGAGCGAGTCATAACCCATCTGAGCCTCAATTCCCTCACGTGGAAAATGACTGTTGAATCTACCTTTTGATGCACAAATGACACCATGAATGTCGAGCACTTGCAACTTCAAAATGCTATGACAATAGCAATTACCACTGGTAGGAAAGTGCCCTGGATGAACAGCATCAATAGGGATGCTGGGAGAGCTCCTGGAAGGTCTCTCCTCAAGTGCTACCAGCCTAGTTTAGCATTCTCTTGTCAACATGGTGGGCAAAAGCAGAGACTCATTCATTTATTCAGTCATTGAACAATTCTTATGTGCAAGATACTGGGGTTACAGAGAGAGAAGACAAAATTCCTGCTCTCAATAAGCTTAGACTGCAATGGAGAGGGATAAGAATGTATACTAATAACTAGGATACAGGGAAGACAGGGACAAATATGCAAATGTCAAAGAAAAGTGCTATGAAAAATTTGAGGTTGAACTAGGGGGAGAGGATAACGGAAGGTTTCCTGGAAGAAGGAACAGTGATGGGCAGAGCAAAGTGGCTGTGGTGGTCAGTCACCTAACATGCATTTATTAAGTTCTTACTGTATATCAGGCACTGTGAATGCTGGGGACCCAAAGGAAGGCAAACACAAGACATCTAGAGGAGAGACGAGGCAAAATGAGAGAAGGCATTGATGGGATGGCCTGTGTGTGTGTTCCTATATTTGCATCCCCTAGAGAAAGTGAGCGCACCATCACAGTGGGTGCACCTTCCCTGGTGAACTTATGGGAGGATATAGACCAGATGCAGCCAAATGATGCAGGCACAGGTGGTTCATGATTTTTATCACTGGTGTCCCCATCTGGGAGGTTACAGATTCAGTATTTGAGAAATCACTAACACCTGATGGGATGAGTAACAGAAATGGGATGTGGCTCTGAGTGAGCCTACTTTTTTTTTTTTTGAAAGCAAAGAGGATAGAGAAGCAGAATGATGGTGGGGTGGCGAGGTGGGGCAGGGCATCAGTGCAGATTAAGTAGGTATACTCATATGAGGAAAACTAGGAACCGGAGGGCCAAAGCATGGTGGGAAGTATTTGGGGGAAGATCAGGGGACAGATTTTTGGGGCACTCTGTATAAATGAACTATTATTATTCCTCCAATTTTTGAAAGATAAAATTATTGTGAAGGCAGTTTAAGAAATTAGCTTTTTTACTTTTGGCATAAAGTTCCAGCAGATTTCCAGATAGCTGGTTTCCCATTGGTCCTGTATCATTAGCCTCTCTATGCCTGGTTTCTGATTCATTCTCCCAAATTCATTTGTTTCTTTTTGCCCAAGTGATCTGATGATTAAAATTGCTTCCTTTTCTGCCTCCACTGAGATTCATCCAAATGTCTTTTTTGTTTCCTCCTGTTTTCTGGATTTCCTCGTCTACATATGCCTTGACATCCAATACCTTCTTCTTCCCTATCCCTTTTGGAATAAGGTCTGCCCATGCAGAGCCATATAAATATATACATATATACATACATACACACACATAAACATTTGTGGTGAGACCTTGAATTCTTTTGATTTTTGATTACACTTTGTGTATTTCTTCTTTTTAACCCTTGGATTATCTTTGGTGAGCTTTGGTGTGCTGTGATTGCTTTTCTTCCCACACTACTCTATGGTAGCAAATTTGTTGGATGTCTGTGCGGATTTTTTTCTGCACCCATCAAGTTCAATTTTAGTCTGTCAAGATTTTTTTGGATGCTATCTTCCACTGTGGGCTATCCCTCTCATTTTGTGCCATATGCAAATTTAGTAAAGGTGACATTTAAGCCTTTGCTCAGGTCAACTCAAGAAACATTAGATGCCTGTAATCCACAAGACACTGTGAAAGGTGTGGGTGATATAAAGACAAAAAAAGCCATTTCTCCTCTCAAGAAGTCCATGCTTTATTGAAGAGGAAGGGGCAAGGATGCGATATGCACACAAATAAATACAAAATGTATTGTACACAGTAACTTCAAGCGGGAGAGAGTGTTGGCGGGGCAGGGGTGAAGTCAGGAAAGGATTTGTGGAGGAGGCAGCAACTGGGCTGTCTTTGTAGTTAGGCTTACTACAATTCAGACATTTTCAGAGCAGCTGTGTAGAGATGGGAGCTGGGATGTCACCTATCAGGAACAGGTAGGCAAGCCTGTGCAATAGCAGTGACCTCAGAGTTGTATGGAGTGAATGTAATGGACAGGAAATACAACAAACAACACAAAACGACATTCGAAGGCTTGTGAGCTCAGTAAAACAAAGGTAAGAATCCAGGGCTGCCTCTGTGCCGTAAGAAAACAACGGAGTTGGATGTAGAACATGTCCAAGTTCTAACCCAACAGGACAAGTTCTAAAGAATTAGAGTCTTACTTCTTGTTAGCCTTACCCTGAGAACTTCATGTTGGGTTTGAAGAAAATTGCCATAGAGGTGGAGGCAGGCTTTCGAATAGAGTTGTCTGAGGCACCAGCAACAGGTAACCACATTAGAGAAACTTTTACTGATTAGGGAATGTAGGGCCAGGAGGTAAAGTGATTTACTGAAAGCCAGTTTAGTTGTACATTCATGACCAGACCCACTGTGTGGTGGAAAGAGCACTGGGTTTTGTAGATGAGTTTCTTCAAAAGTTCGACTTTGGGCAAGTCACTTACCATCTTGGAACCTCAGTTTCCAAAGTCGCTGTAAAATGAGGGCTTTGGAATAGATGCTCCTTTTCTCTATTTTTGCTGATGTCTTGTGTTTTATGCCATCAGTTATGCCCAGTACCCCTCCCTCTCCCAGAGAGCTATCACATATAACAAATAGTAATTTTTGAGGGAAAAAAATCAGCCCAACTGATTGATGTACTGGAAAAATCTGAAAACATGTTCAATGTGTAACCTCTGTGGACCTCCCACTTCCACAAAAGGGCGGGTTGGGAGCGTCTTCCTATCTCTCCTCCTGTGAGTCCCACTTGATCTTTGTAACTGTTTCATTCCCTTTCAATTTTTGGCGTGCGCTTGTTCTGTCCACGTGTCTTGTTTCCGTGGCTCTGCTGCTTTTCCTGTGCATCGGTTCAGAGATCTCTTTGTGCTTTTGGGTATCCGTCGAGTTCATTTCTTACAGTATAGTCAGATCCCAGTACACTTCATGGACTACAGTTTTTTTTTTCTTTTTAAATTTAAATTTAATTTATTTTTGTTATATTTTAAGTTCTAAATTGTCTCCCTCCACATCCTGCACTAGAGAAGGCCACCATTTCTCTCCCTCTCTCTCTCTCTCACACACACACACACACGACCATACTCTGCATACTTCTATTTATCATTCTTTCTCTGGAGGTGGTTAGAATCTTCCTTCATAGATCCTTTGTAGTTGATTTGAATATTTAGAATAGTTAGAATAGCTTAATCATTCACAGTTGTTCTTTAAACAATATTGCTGCCATTGTATCCAATGTTCTCTTGGTTCTGCTTATTTCTCTCTTTGTTATTTCATAAGAGTCTTTCCATGTTTTTCTAAAATCAACTTGCTTATCATTCCTTACAGCACAGTGGTATTCCATCACAATCACATAGGACAACTTGTTTAGCCATTCCCCAACCGATGAGCATCCCCTCAAATTCTAGGTCTTTGCCACAACAAAGAGAGCTGTTATAAATATTTTAAAAGATAAAATTCTTTTGTTTGTTTGTTTTTTGACTTTTTTCCCGATTATCTTGAGAAACAAACCTAAGAGTGGTATTGCTGGGTCAAAAGGTACAGTTTTATAACTCTTTGGGCATAAATCTAGATGGCTTTCCAAAATGATTGACTTTGTCAACAACAGTGTATTAGTGTCCCAATCTTTTTGCATCCCCTGCAACATTTGTCGTTTTCCCCTTCTATCACGTTAGCCAATCTGATAGGTATGAGATGCTATCTCAAAATTGCTTTAATTTGCATTTTTCTAATCAATAATAATTTAGAGCATATTTTATATGACTATTTATAGGTTAGATTTTTTTCATCTGAAGACTGCCTGTTCATATCTTTTGACCATTTATCAATTGGGGAATGACTTATATTTTATAAATTTAACAAAGTTCTCTATATATTTGACATATGAAACCTTTATCCAAGAAACTATCTATATGAACCACCATGAGATTAAAGGCTCCTTCCACCATGGCCTCGTTCATCTCAGTTCTCCTCTTCCTCCTCCTCCTCCTTCTTCTACTTTTAAAAATTTATTTATTTTGATTTATTACTTCCATAAACTTTTGAGTTTTAAATTTTTTTCCCCTCCCTAAGACAGCATGCAATATGATATAGGCTATACATATACATTCCTATTAAACATGTTTTTGCATTAGTGATGTTGTAAGTAAGAATTAGAACCAATAGGAGGAACCACCACAAAGAGGAAACAAAACACAACAGAAGAAAAAAAAATAACAAATAGTATGCTTTGATCTGCATTCAAACTCCATAGTTCTTTCTTTGGATGTGGATAGCATTTTCCATCATGAGGCCTTTGGAGATGTCTTAGATTGTTGTATTGCTGAGAAGGGTTAAATCTATCAATATTAATACCTAACTGATTATGTTATTTCCTTCTTGAGCCAAATCTGATGAGAGTAAGGCTCATCTCCCTCCCCTCTTTCCCTCCGCTTTAATAGGTTTTTATGCCTTTTCCTGTAATGTAATTTACCCTTGTCTGCCTTCCTCCTTTCCTTTTCTCTCAGTACCTTTTTTTTTTTAATGCAGAAATATTTATTTTGGTTTCGTTCATTATTTTTTGGAAATTCTGTTTTGGTTTATAAAACATAGAAACAGGCAGCACTGAAAGCAAACATTCAAAACTCCAATGTGACAAATTACCGACTTAGATATTTGTGCAATTAAGAGCACACATTATGAAGTTAGGCTACCAAATAGTGTTATTACAATGACATCTCTTTAGTGCACACCTTATTGTGCTTGAGTATTACATATAATCCCATGTATCCAAAAACCAGAATCACTTTAAATGACAACTTAATTCATTCAAATGTAGCCAAGACCTATAATAATTGAAATGTTGCAAATTTCCCTAATTAGAATAAAAGCCCCTCAGGAGTTACTCCTAGGAAAAATTGTTCTTTTGCTCCCAGATTTACACATCCCCCCATTAGTTAGCATTTTTTCTGGCTTGTTGATCAGTACATTTTCTTAGTTAGATCAGATTAATCCACTTACTTGGATCCATCTAACCAAAGTCAACTTATACCCACCCCATTTATGTATACCCCTTTAACATGGTGTAATAACAATACAGTTCTCAAGGGTTACAAGTGTCATCTACCCTTGTAGAGATGTAAACAGTTTGCCCTTATTAATAACATGTTGTTTCTTTCTGTCCCATTTACCTTTTTATGTCTCTCTTAAGTCTTGTATTTGAAGATCAAATTTTCTGGTCTTTTTATCAGGAAGGTTTGGAAGTCCTCTATTTCACTGAATATTTATCTCCTCCACTGAAACATCATGCTCATTTTCACTGGGTAGTTGATCCTTGGTTGTAATCCAAGCTCCTTTGCCTTATGGAATATCATGTTCCATGAACTACGGTCTTTTAATGTACAAGCTGCAAGGTCCTGTGTAATCCTGACTGTGGTTCCATGATATTTAAATTGTTTCTTTCTGGCTGTTTGCAGTATTTTCTCTTTGACCTGATAATTTTGGAATTTGGCTACTCTATTCCTTGGTGTTTTCAATTTGGGATCTCTTTCAGGAGGTGATCAGTGGATTCTTTCTATGGTTCTTTTACCCTCTGGTTCTAGGACATCAGGGCAGTTTTCCTTTATGATTTCCTGAAAGATACTGTCCAGGCTCTTTTTTTTCATCGTGGTTTTTAGGTAGACCAATAATTTTTTAATTGTCTCTCCTGGATCGATTTTCTAGGTCAATTGTTTTACCAATGAGGTATTTTACATTTTCATCTATTTTTTCATTCTTTTGTTTTTGTTTGACTGATTCTTGCTCTCTCCATTTGCCCAATTCTAATTTTTAACAAATTGTTTTCTTCTATTAGATTTTGTACCTCCTTCCCCATTTGGCCAATTGTATTTCTTGGGGACTTTCTTCAGTGTACTTTTTTTCCAGTTGGCCAATTGTGTTTTTTAAGGACTTGTTTTCTTCAGTGTACTTTTTTTCCAGTTGGTCAACTGTATTTTTTTAAGGACTTGTTTTCTACAGTTAATTTTTGTCCTTCCTTTTCCAAGCTATTGACTCTCTCTTGCATACCTCTCATTTCTTTTCCCGTTTTTTCTTCTACCTCTCTCATTTGGCTTTTAAAATCCTTCTTGAGCTCTTCTAAGAAGGCTTTTTGGGCTTCAGACCAGTTCATATTCCCTTTTGAGGTTCCAGATGTGGGTTTGTTGACAATGTTGTCCTCTTCAGAATTTCTGCCTTGATCTTCACTCTTTCCCATAATAAGAATCTATTGTACGTTGCTTTTTGCTAATAATTTCCTGGACTTTAAAGAGATTGGGCTCTCCTGCTGGGGAGCAGAGGGTACTGACCCAAGCTTCTTGTGTTGGGAGCCCAGGGCCTGGTCACTGGCTTTGTGTGCTGGTGCCTCCAATGCTGGCAGTTGGAGGCTGTTGGGTTCTGGCAGCTTACCTGGTGTTGGGCTGGAATCAGCAACACTGGAACTCTAGGGGGAAGATTGGGTAGTGTGGCTCCTGGAGATTTCCTGCTCAGCGGGGCCTTTCCTTTCCCTCCTTTTGCTTTCTTCAACTCCTTCCAGTGGATGTTGCAGGATGTTTATCCACCTGGGGCCCCTTGGAGCGCTGCTTCCCTTAGTTTTGCTGAGGCATTGGGAGAGTCGATAGCTGTAGAATGCCGAGGTACCTGGTGGTTTTCCAAGCTGGTTTCCACTGGTTCCCCCACCCTCACTGAGGCACTCGGGGGTCCAGGTGTTGGTGTCTGCCTGCTCCACCATCTGGGTTTCAGGATCTCCTCCCGGTGTGCTGAGGTAGGGCTTTCCATTAGCTTGCTGGGATGCCTCCCGTTCTATACTTTTCACCTGCCCCCAGGGCAAGAAGGGCCTTTTCCGTCAATCCCTCAAGCTACCTGGGCTACTGGACTGCTGCACCTCATCTTTCTTCTGGTTCAGCTGTTCCAGGGTTTTTCCTGGGGTGATATTTTCTGGGCTTTCAGAGGTTAATAAGGGAGGGTAAGAGTGACTTACTTCTTACTCTGCCATCTTGACTCCCGGAAGTGGAAGTCTGGACTATGGTTTTTTAGCCATGCCCTAATCAATGGGCATAATCAGTGTTCTTTTTCCCAACTCTACTAATACTGGGAAAATCCTAGTTTTCAGAAAATCAGTGTATCTTAGATAGTGTTTATGTATACTTTAGATGTTATGCATGTTTTTACTATATATTCAAATATATCAATGTTAGGTGCATTTAAAAAATTTTGAAAAAAGTAAAAACTACAATTCAAGTGGAGTAAAAAGCAGTCACCATCCAAAGTCCCAATGCTTGGCAGTAACAGCTCATGTTTCTATAACCTCCTGTATAGATTCTTTCTATATTATCCATCCCTTTTTGATCCACACCATTTTATGAGATAGGTGCTATTCTCATCTTTCATTGATTCAGGTATGACTTTTAAAAGGGAGTAGTAGTGGTGAGGCTACAGAGGAAATGGCTACAGAATAAAAGACAATGCAAAAATAAAACTTTTTAAAAATAGAAAATGGGTACGAAAACAATCTATTTTCTAATGGATGCCCTTTTGTAGCAAAGTGTTCAATTTTGGTTAAAAAATGAAAAGTTAAATTTTTTTTGGTAGGTTAAAAATAATTATTATATGAACTTATTTGGTGATATTGTTTACAATCTCATAAGATTTTGATTTTTTAAGGAGGAAGAGGAAACGGAAACCTTTGAGCTTAGCAGGGAGTATGAAGAACTAATTAAATTAAAAAGGAGTGGTTCTATTCAAGCTAAGAACTTAAAAAGCAAGTTTGAAAAAATTGGACAACTGTCTGAAAAGGAAATACAGAAGAAGATTGAGGAAGAGCGAGCTAGAAGAAGAGCGATTGACCTTGAGATCAAAGAGCGAGAAGCAGAGCATTTTCACGAGGTGAGTTTTCATGCTGAACATATTGGCCTAAGCTCTTCACTAAGAGGCAAGAAAAGTTCTGGGGAGGGGCCCAGTGTAATAAGAAGAGCCTTGCAAGCAGAAGTCAGTTAAAATCCCAGGTCTTCCCCCTGCTACCTGTGCAGATAGCTAGCTAGTTAAGATGTGAGTTCAAACCCAGCCCTACATTTAGTAGCCAGGTATTAACCCTGGGCAAATTACTGAACCTGTTTGCCTTAGTTTCCTCAACTGTAAAATGGAGATGATAATACCCACCTTGAAAGGTTGTTGGGAAGGATCAAATGAGATGTTTGTGCCTGGCACATAGTAGGTGCTTAATAAATGCTTCCCTTCCTGCCCGCTGCCTTCCCACCCATTACATACTTTTGAATGATTGACATCCTACAAATTCACAATGTGTGGTGTCCTCCAGAAAGTTAACATGGTTGTCATTTTCTTCCTTTGTACAATGCAGGGATTCAATTTAGAATGGGAGTCCTTCCCATTCTAAATCTTCTCCTATGAAGCAAAGACACCAAAATTCTGCCTCAGGAGGCTAAGGAAAGATGACACGTTTTTTCTAAGGCTCCCTTGCTAGTAAAACCCTTTGCTTTTCCTTACTTTCATCTTCAGAGTGAGCAAAATATTTTAGTTTAGCTCTTAAAGTTTCTCTGAGAATAAAAATTAAAGTCAGAGGGGCCCATGTCAGGATCACAACTCACTTGAAAGACCTAGAACATTGAGTGGATTTGAACTTTCATAGTAATAAGCTAGAAGCCAAGGAAGGCCTTGTGATCTTAAGGTATGTTTGTTTACTAAAAGTTGAGGGAGGTTCTAGACCTGCTTGACTCTGCCTCAGTTAGACCACATCTAGGATTAGGGTACCCCAACCCCTACATCTAGTGTACCAAGTGCAGTTTCTCAGGAAGGATATTGACAAGCATATCTGAGAAGGGCAAGCAGATGGATGAAGTCAACAGGATACTATGAAAAGACTGATTAAAAGAACTGGGGGAAAAAAAACTCAGGAGAGGAAGAAAAGGAATATGGTAGTTTTCTTCAAGCATTTGAAGGGCTGTTATATGGGAAAAGGGTCATAATGTTTAGAAATTGAAGGGACCCAAGTCCTTATTTTGCAAAAGAGGAAACAGACACCCAACAGTCAGCAAAATATCTGGGTCTCAAACCCAGGTCCTTTGAATCTAAATCCCATCGTTGTTTCCATTACACAATGGAAGAACTGGGAGTAATGGATGTCGATGTCCGTCCCCCCCCCCCCCCCCCCGAGTTGAACTTTGAAACAAGTTATGGATTGTTGAGGCAGAGGTGGGGAAGGAGTGCATTCCAGGCACAGGAGACAGTGTCTACAGACTGGAGACAGGAAGTTGTGTGTAAATAAAAATAAGTTATGTATAATGTCTAGAAAGGTAGACTGGAGCCAAATTGTGAAGGGCTCTTAATGCCAAATAAAGGTGTTGGTATTTGATCCAAGAGGCAAAAGGAAGCCAGACCTTCATGATCAGGGGAGTCACATTGTCAACTGTGTGGAGGAAGGCCTGGAGGAGTGAGACTAAAAGCTGAGAGACCAATGAAGAGGTTATCAAAATGGCGATGTATGGAGCCCCTGGCACTAACCTGTTGGCCATGAGTGGAAAAGTGAACTAATGGGAGAGACTTTGCAAGTTAACTGGATGTAGGAGGAGGAGAGAGAGTCTTCAGGGACGACCGAGGTTGTGAATGTAGGTGATGGGAAGGATGGTGGTACTCTTCAACTGGGAAGACTGGAAGGAAAGAGGAGTCTGACTTGACACATTGAAATGTCTAGGGGACATCTAATGGGAAGTGGCCCAGTAGGCAGTCAGCAATGCAAGATTAGAGCTCTGGACAGAAAAAGCAGGTCTGGGACAGACAGAGTAGTCATCTAGGTAGTGGTAACTGTTGTTTCCTGAGCTCCAGGACAACTTTGGTGCCATCCCCAACTCCTGCCCTCATCCTTCCTCCCTTTCTGCTTTTCCTATGTCTTACATTCATTCCTCCCCAGACCCCACAAGTCCTCTGGGATCCTTCACCCAAGATTCCATTTGCTGTCCCGCATTCCCATCTTGACACTACCCTCTGGTTTTAGCAACAAGTGCTACCTCTTCCAACATTGCCAGGAATGCCTTCCCTCTGTTGGTTACCTCCGATTTATAATGTACACACCTCGTTTATGCACAGTTGTTTGCATGTAGTTGTCTCTTTATAGTCCCAGAACCTAGTATGGTGCCTAGAACATAGCAGGTATTAATACCTGCTTGCCCTTAGGATACACCTAGCTAGGAAATCAATCAACATTTATTCAGTGCTTACTATGTGCCAGACACTGTATCAAGGGCTAGAGATACAAAGAAAGAAAAAATGAAGTCCAGGCTTCCAAAGGGTTTGCAGTCTAATGGGGAAGCTTGAGTAATGAGGTACAGAGTAAATGGAGGGAACCAGAGACAGGAGAACATTATGTTCAAGGAACAAGGTGGCCAGCATAGCTTAGCGTGAGTATTAAGTTAACAAGATCGGGAAAGTAGGAAGCAGCAATTATATTTAATATCAGATGTAATAGGGAGCCCAGTGGCGCTTATCGGGCATGTGTATGTGCACGCACGTGACAGGCAGACTTGTGCTTCAGGAAATTACTTGCAGCTAAGTGGAGGATGGATTGGAATTGGAAGATATTTGAGGCCAGACCAGTGAAAAGATTACTGCTAATACTTGCAAGAGTTAGGTGATAAAGGCCCGCATGAGGGTAGTAGCTATGCAAGTGGATTGAAAGAGATGTGTATGAAGGTAAGAATGACAAGTTGACAACTGATGCTCCAGTAAAGGAGAATGAAAACTGACCAGATTAGGAGGCCCAATGCTAGGAGGTTAAGAAGGGACGGATAAATTGCCATCCAGTTGTTGAAACTGCTGGTTAAACTTTGGAGGGAGAGGTCTCTGTACAGTTGATAAAGCTGGAAGCCAGATTAGATTGGAAGAGGCTGAGAAATAAGGAGACAAGGAGTGTAGACAATTTTCATGAAGTTAAGAGATATAGGAAAGCGCTTGAGGAGTGGTATTGTGAAGTAAAGATTAACCTGGGCATGTTGAGAATGGCAAAGGAGCCAGTAGGGAGGTGTATGAATACAGAGTGGGGCTGTTGTCATGGTGGTCTGCTGGACACAGGTTGGATGAGATGAAGGGGATAAGTAGAGTGTGGGTCATCTCTTTGTCAGAGACGAAAGCAAGGAGCAGGAAATGGGAGATGATTTAATACCAGGAAAAATGTTAAGTACTAAATGTACAGAATACTTTGAGAATTCAGAGAACTTCCAACTGGAGGAATAAAACATTGTGAAGTAACACTTAATTCAGATGCCTTCCTTGGAAGGTCAGGGAGGATTTTCTTCTTAGAAAACAGATTTAAAAATCATTTAATGAGTAATTGTGAAGCACAAGAGTCTGCAGGAAAATGAGGAAAACTTCCATGCAGCACAGAGGGTGTGAGGGCAATCTTGAGACCAAAATCTCATCCACGTGTGGCCACTGCAATCTATGTTCTTGAATCCCTTTTGGATACTCGTGTACTTTCATAAATTTTCCAGACAATCTACCCCAAACAAGGGAGGACTCCAGCAAGGTGTTTTAACTTGTGAATACTAATGCAGCACGAGGGCTTTTCATCTGTTACCTTTCTCTGTGTCTGCTTTGCCTTGAAGTGATACCCAGGAGTTGAGAATAAACACTCCTGGGGGTCAGACCGAGGGACATCAATCACTCTAGATTTGCTGGCCAGCTACTACTAGTCCCCGCAGTCACCTCTGTAAACAGGAATGGATATCAGAAGTGCTTCTTCCTACCTGAATCTTTTCTTGATCCCTATGTCCAGGGAGCTCCTCCTGCAACAATCCTTGGAGGGGAAGGACTGTTCTGTCTGCAGGCTCAAGTACTTAGCAGTTAGGCGCTTCTGGAACCACATTAACTCCACTCACTATCCATTATTCCTTGTGCCCCTTTCCCTTACTTTGGACCAAACCAAGATTTCACAAGTATCCTACTGTATGGTCCTTTAAATGACTTTGGTATGTACTATGTGGAAATCATTTTTATACTAGGACATAGACACACAGGTTTAAATCTTGGCTCTGCCATTCAGTCCCCACATGACCTTGGAAAGTCTGAGGACCTCCATTTTCTCTTCTATAAAATGAAGGGGAAGGGACTAGGCAAAATGAATTATCTTAATCTATGACCCTATGAATAAGAGGCCCTTAATTGTACTTACTATTATACCCTGGCCATGACTCTTAAAGTTATGTGTAAGTTGTTTCTTCAACAAGGCTGTGAACAGATTTAGGGTGTAAATTACTACATACACCTTATGAGCTTTCTAGACTTTAGACACTTCCTGCTAGGTAAGGAAGAGATCTGGGATCACAGCAACATCCCATTATCATCATCTCCTCTAAGGCCACAGAGTCAAGGTAGGCAAATTGATTGTCCTTAATTAAGAACTGACCTATTGTGTTCCTGAAGAACAGAAGGATCCTCATCTTCACAGTAATGCAGCAAGATGAAATGACCCGGGTAATTAATAAGACTAATTCTGACTTCTTTGTTCTTATTTTTAAAAATCCTTCATAAAATCCCAGGAAGACGATGTTGATGTGAAGCCTGCCCAAAAATGTGAGGCCCCCTTCACTCACAAAGTTAACATGAAAGCTAGGTTTGAACAGATGGCGAAGGCCAGAGAAGAGGAGGAACAGAGAAGAATTGAGCAGCAGAAGCTGTCACGCATGCAGTTTGAGCAGAAGGAGATCGATGCAGCGCTCCAGAAGGTTGGTATGATGGACTTCCTGCATCCTCACTTGTCATCCCACCTGAGCATGAACCCTGAGGCTCAAAGATGAGGGCCGTGCATCTCACCAACATGCACCGCATGTGTGTGGGTCATCGAATCTTCTGGATGTATTGTTTGGCCATAAGTATCACGGTGCTAGGCTCATTTCTCTCTCACTACATTGGGTAGTGACTTAATCTGGCTTTACAGACGTCACTGATTCTGGTCCACCCATTTGATACAGTAGTATTAGTAACACAAGTCCACCCTGCACCTGTTTCTTTTACCACAGAAAAAAGAAGAGGAGGAGGAAGAGGAGGGAGGCACCATGAATGGTTCCACACTCGAAGATGGAGAACAAACTCGGTCTGGAGCGCCATGGTTCAAGAAGCCTCTAAAAAACACGACCGTTGTAGATGGTGAGCCAGTTCGATTCACCGTGAAGGTAACTGGAGACCCCAAGCCTGAAGTCACGTGGTGGTTTGAAGGAGAGAGGTTACAGGATGGGGAGGACTATCAGTACATTGAGAGAGGAGAGACTTACTGCCTTTACCTCCCAGAAACCTTCCCCGAAGATGAAGGGGAGTACATGTGTCATGCGGCCAACAGCAGGGGTACTGCGGCCAGCACCTGCATCCTCACCATCGAAAGTAAGAGCTAACTCTGGGTCCCATCCCCGCCCCCCAACCTACTCAGCTCCAGCTTCTTAGCAAAAAAATCACTAATGTCTGGTCTTCTCTTCTCTTCTAGCCGACGACTATTAGCTTTTCTTTTTCTGGAACCTTCCTTCTTCTCCTCAACTTTCCTCCTGCATCCGTCTCTTTCTGTGGAGGGGCCAAGTACGGGAATCCGGGAGCTATCATGCCCATCCATGCTAGATCTAAAGGCTTACCATGGAAGCCTGAAAACCTGAATAAAATTAGGGGAAAAAAATCTATCAGTAATCACTAAGAATTCCAACTTCCCTGTTTCTATAACATGTAATCCAATGGTATACATTGAACCTTTCTGATCTAAAAGCCTTGCTTATTTTTAAGCAGGGTGAACTGATGTGCCGCCATATTGCCTATTCAAAATGGAAGCTAAAGAGGGGTGAAAAGTTCAGAGACAGGATATTTAAACTATATAAGTTAGCCTCAAGGGATAGAAAAAAGCATATAGATGACAGGCTAACTTTATCCACCCAAGCTAGAACCAATCAGCCATGCCTTCCTAATAGTTTAAAACTTTGAAGGTGAACCAATTTTGATTGATAGCTTTCTTCAACAATATTAAATTCAGATCATTTCTGAGGACCTTTATCAGGAGAGATATTTTGGTAAAAATCTTTAAAGTAAAAAAATTTTTAAAAAAGGGCATATTATAAATTCTAAATGTAAAACTTACTGCCAACATATCACAAAGTTCTGAGACTTCTGAGTATTAATATTAAAGAAGTTGATTTTACCCAAATAAATTATATTAAATTGGCTCACAATTCCATAAAAGCTTCTGAAAATTCAGAAATTTCATACTAACCAGTTCATATAACTTCATATGATTAAAAAAAAACCAAAACAAAAGCCTTGGTATCTGCAAAAATAAGTAAACTGAAGCTTAGAAGCTCTGGAAATGATGAGGAAAGAAGGGAAGTTTTATGAACAAATTTCAAACATCTCAAGTTAAACTTGTAGGCTAGATTTGGTCTTTTGAAATGAGTTTGTAAATAATCTTAACTCTTACGTTCTTTACTCAAACTTTTCTTATTTTAACTTTCTGGAAGATAGATAGAATTTTATTTTCCAATGTAAAAATAATAATAAAGTAAATTCTGTATTAAAACAACTTCTCTAGTTATTCTCAAGTAATTAATAACTTGCTAGGGACAGAAGCTCTCAGTTTTATTTACATTTCGAGGACCAGTTCCTTTTTAAAGGGAAGACATTATTTACTCCCTGTTTGCAATTCTTGAGTTTAAAATAAAACCCTCCAAGAGGAAACCTTTAATGACAAATGAAGTCAATACTTGGTAAAGGTGAAGACTTTAATGGACTCATCCTCAGTTATTTGTTCTCAAATCCTCTACAATCTACAAGAGTACCTCTAAATGGTACTAAATGTCCAAAGGGGGGGGGAGGGAGGAAAAAAGAGACCCAACACTGCTGTAGTGTGTCCATTCAGTTACATTTATTGAGAAAACCATAAACGATACAAAATTCCAGTAATGGTGTACCCTTCTTACATAGAAATGTCATCATAGCAGGCTCTAAACCACATTTTGTAAAGCATTCAATTTACCTCAAGTCCAAGCTGCATCTCCCTAAGACACTGTTCCCATCACAGTAGCCTTTTAAAGCCAATCTTCTTTAAACACACGGGTAGTTTCTGTAGAGAACACTTTTCTCAGGACGAAAATGCATTGAGCATGCATAAGAAAAATATATATATATATATATGCGGAAATACATATAAGAGTTTCACAGGGATAACTAAAGAATATAAAATCTTAAAAACTGATTTCCTTTTGAAAGCTAATTTATAAATCCTAGCCCCCCACTTCCCCCTCCCCCAGAACAATTATAGTGCGGAAAGAAAACCCAAACTAACAATACAAAAGCAAGTGCTTTTTAAAGCACCCCCAATGAAGTTCTCATTGAGGAGGATGTATTAAAAAAAAAAAGGCATATTAAAGTGAGAATTGGCAGCAAATAATAATGAAATAACCTATTAGAACTCTACATTACTATTATTCCCTTGGTGACACAATTTCTTTTGGTACCCTTGCCAAAGAGATGAAATGTTAGCAATGATTCTACAAGACTTCTGCATATTTTTCTATGTTCTTTCTGACTCACTCCCCACCATGACCCTTCCCATTTTAACCATCAAAAAACCCTTATTTGAGGTAATAACGTCACGATGTTTACAATCTCTAAATATAAACTTCATTGAAAAATAAAATTTACTTATTTTCTCATTTCTAAAAGAAATATCATAGTACTACTACACTCAGTAACCCAAGAGGAAAAATAAAATAAGCAGATTCCCTGTACATTTGGGTAAGTGCTATAAAGACTTCAACTCCAGGTTAAGCATCCTGTCCTCAAACCTCCTAACCACCACTGTAGTCAAATGGGCTGGCTCACCTTTTTTGCTTTCCATTTATTTCACCGTTAAAAAATGCTGGCCGGTAAGAGCAGTGAAGGCTTATAGTCATGAATTTTAAAAAGTTCTCAAGAGACAAGAAACAATGCCCCTATAATACATCATCCATGAGCACAACTATCAGCATTCAGGTCTATTTTGTTCTATAAAATTTCAAGCTAAAACTGCAAAATGTGATGACTCACAGGTTTTAAAGAAATCCTTATATTATAAAACTTAACACACCTGACCTTGGCTGTTTATAAAAAGAACAAATGGAAACAGAAGGTGGTGCAGTAGCTACATAATTCAAGAAATTCAACAGTTCACAGAACATTTATGAGCAAGTGAAGAGTAAATCAAAGTGGATCCATTCTGTCTGGGAATACATGTTTTTGCCCAGGTTTTACCTTCTACCTCGAGCCCTTCTATGGTCCATGCTCATCGGCTCGCCAATGGCCTACAGCCCAAGGGCTCCTTCCTCTCTGGGGCAGTTAACTACCTCAGGGCCCTTGTCTATGAGCTATGGTTGGGCACTCGCAGATCTTCAGCACTGTGTGTGAACATGAAGGCAGTACTTTTGAATATGTATCTTAAATGGAGAGAGAAGCAGGACTTTTGAAAAGGATCAGCACATTTTAGAAAATGAAGAAACAAAAACTGAAACGATGCTGCTTTTTGACTTTCAACTAAAAAAAAGAACAGCAAAAAAACCCAAAACGAAACAAAAAAAAAAAAAAACCAAAAACAAAAAACCCCACCCAAACAAAAAACAAAACCCCCCCAAACTTTGTACCAGTTAAAAATCATCTATAAAAACACACAAACATTTTAAACTGGCAAAGAAAAAAACAAAACCCCAAATCAAAACAATGAAAAAAAAAACATTCAAAACAAAATTTTTTTAAAATGCAGCATCAAAGTATTACAGATCAGAAAATTACTGATTTCTATACAGATTATGAAAGGATATTTGCTATACAGTTAACATTTCAATGATGCATATATATGCCTATTATTAAAAAAAACCACACTGCCAGTATTATATAAATGAAATATCATTTTCTCAGTGTATAATTATGGCAACTAAATAATCTAAAATCATACTAAAATTCTGACCCATTATAACCTTTTACTGAATTATTAAGCTTTAATAATAAGAAGCAAAGGGATCGATATTTAGCTTTAGGAAGGCAGGGAAAATGTCCTGTCAATCATTACAAACATATGTGAAGGCTGTTGAAGTTTCTGACCAAATATTTCCTGTACCTTGAAAAATTTAACTGTACTTTCTTATTTGTAACAATCTGCTATATTCAAGGAAAAAGTTAACAAAATGATTTGGCTATTAATTCAATTACTGCAGCAATCTACTCATCTTAAAATTAAAAAGAAACAAAAAAACAAAACAAAACAAAACAAAAAAAAAAACATTTACCCAGAAATGTCAACGGTTGTTTAAACAACTTACAGACTTTTCCACTGAAATGGAACCATGAATAACAGAATGCATCGTGGGAAAGCAGCAGCAGATTGCTTTTGAATACACAACCACAAAGATCTCACAGGGACAACATTAATGTACTGCAATATTTATTTATAGATTTCCTTAGGTTGTGCTTACCTGGTGCTTTTTGGAGCAGAACCTAAGGTGGAAGGTCTGGGAAGGCACTGTGAAGTATAAATAATTGCACTGTTTGCAATTAAGAACGATTTTAAACCTTAAACGAATCAAAATCAACAGCCTCCATCTTGTGACTTAGGACAGGGAATCCAACTGGACTGATCACCAAGGTACCGCCACTGCCCTCTCGCTGGCAGACAGGGTCACGCCCACTCTGCAGCCACGAGCTCCCTAACTCGGGACGAGGATCTCAACTACAACTGTCCGTCTGTCTTCCTGGTCTGGTCTGGCAGGGGGGAGGGCGGTCACTGCTCATTCGACAACCCCAATGGAACGAGGAGCAGCCTTGCACTGGCATCCCTACATCTTGCCCTCACCACAATGGGCCTCCCTCCCCAGTGAAGGGCTGGTATCAAAGGAGCATCCATACTGCTTAGTATTTGCAAACAAACGGAAAATTTCTGTCTGACAAAACAGTTTCCAATTCTTTTGAGTTTAATATACAAGATATGCAGTTTTCATACTGAAAAACAATCTTTTTACCTCAGGAGCACCAGAGGAAAATACTATATATATATATATATTCACTTTGTAAAGATTAGTTTTGTTTAGCTATAGCTAAGCATTTCATAAATACTTACCCATTAAGCTCACATTAAAAAAAATAATAGATATATAGATATTGATAGATATAGTTATAGACATACAGCCTATGTCATCTGCTTTCAATGAAGAGGCAAGTTAGGATCCCCCAAGTTCTCAGCACTGTATTCCAACATAATAGTCACACAAGGTACGGCATATGCATTATGTGGAACATTTGACAGCCATTTGTCATTCTGATGTACTTACAGTGCCATGCTCCTTGAAGGAACACAATCAAGGATGACAGACAGACAGCCCAGGCCTCCTCACCCCTACAGAGCTAGTCCTATACTGGATGGTCAAACCTGCGCTTCAACAGACAATGGCAAGACAGACTGTATTTGCATGTTGTCTAATAGATTAATATGCAAAGAGCCAACAAATATGCAAAGAGCAAAACAATGGATTTCAACCAAATATCAGAATTGCAGCACAAATGTTAAAGAGTAAGAAAAGGATTCAAGTACATCAAAAAATTAGTTGGTTCAATGACTGGACTTGTGCATTTACAAAACAAAGCTTATCCATACTTAAAAAAAATGGCTCTAACCTCAGGTTTCAATGACAGAAGCGGTTAGGCTAGCTAAAAGGCGTCCTCAGAAGACAGGCTTTACAAAGAAAAATGCTAGGTCATATTTGCTCTCTGAAAAATGCTGAAAATCATTTATGCTCAAACAGTCTTGGTAACCAAGTAATTATCAATTAAGAACAGAAAGGTTAACTGTTGTTTATAGCAGCGGCCCAGGCCTGAAACAGCGGTCATATGTCAAAGGAAATGCTGTAAGGTCATCCTACACATGCAATTCTTAAAAGTCCAACAGAAGGAAAACCGAGATCTCCAGATGACTTGGGATCAACAGTCATCTAGACCAAGTGGGAAAGATCCTCCAACTACCACTAAACTGCAAAGGGGGAAAAAAGAACATGCCGGTGACTTCAAGGTTCAAAGCTCTATTCAGATTTCAAGGGGAAAGTTTCTCTTTGTGTACCTGGATCTTAATCCATCACTGCTAAACAATTCGGAATCCTTGACATACCCACATATCCAACTTACCGACACAGGAGGTTTCATATTATTTATTGTAAAGCACAAAACAGGCATTTTAAAAGTGAAAGTATACATTGAAAAAGTACATTTATATCACAAAGCATTGACCACATAATAGTTGCAAATACATTTGCTGGAATGTGTACATCTACACTAAGATACTAAAAACAAACCAATGTTCATTTCTACACAGAAATATTACCTCCTATCAGTAGTGATAGATATTTTGTACATTTTCAAAAAACACTATTTTTTTTAAACCAAAACAAAATTAAGATCTTCATCAAGGCGTCTGCATCCATACATTTAACAAAGGTTTTTTTCCCCCACACAATGAAGCAAATACTGTATTGTCCACTTCTTATTATTGGCCCTGTGCAGAAGAGATACATAAGAGATACACAAAAAGTTAAAGAAAATCCTTTAAATCAAGTTAACTCAGGAGTGACTCCTTTAAGAAAGAAAAATTGGTTAATATAAATGGTGGTGGCTTCTTGCATGATTTTCAAAACCCTGGGGGGAGAAAATTTTTTTTAAATTGAAAGGCATTGTGGAGAGATTCAGCACTCAGATGCCAGAGAGAATTTCTAAGACACACCACATTACTACATTTAAAGGTCTATTTTGCCAGAAAAAAATAAAAAGGCATATCCACTCCAAGTGACCCAAGCGGCAGACATGCAGAGAAGTAGAAACAGACCAAAGAGCCAACTCTACCTGTGGGGCTGGTGGGTGCTGCGGCATCCCTTGGGGGCTGGTCTGCGCATAGTATGCGGCCTGCTGTCGGTAGTACTCAGCCCAGGCCGCACTGTAATCAGGCTGGCCACCCGGGGGCGCCCCAGTGGGAGCGGGAACAGCTTGACCTAAGAGCAAGCAAAAGGAGAACGTCGTTACTGTAACCCAAGCGAAGAGCATAAAAGAATCTCATTTCTAATAAAAACAATACCTTGCTTCTTGTAATATTCCTCCCAAGCCTTTGAATAATCCTGTGTCTGCCCTTGTTGACCTAAAAAAAACCCCCTACATTTTAATACAGAATGATATCCACTGTCAGTACAGGTTATACAGACAAAAAGCACACAGGGAGAGATGGGCCCTGCTTTTAGTGTCATCAGGGCCAGAGGAATAGCTCGCTGGTGAATACAGTCACAGACAATACCATCCTCTCCCCCTCTGCAAAAACCAGTGTCTTTCTAGCGCCATTATTTAAAAAAGTGGGAAGACGGAGAACAGTATCTTCTTCCTATGCAACTGATAAAAACATCTATGGATTTCTGTCCTTTTGGTCAATGAGGGCAGGTAGGGAGGCTGGGATCATAATCCCCTGACAGTCTGAAACTGCTTGGATGGCACTGCATAATCGTCACGTGGGGAAGGAAAAAACCGGCCCCTTCAGCACATCATGCAGTCCTTAACAAAAACTCAGGACCCCAATATACCAACTGGTTTGAAACAGTGACTTCCACATCAACATAAAAATCAATGATTAAACTCATCAAGGTTAATTTTAAAAGATTAAATTTTTCTTGTTCACTTATGGACAACTGGGAATCTCACTTTAGTAGTAATTTTCAAGTACCATAATTGATAACAGTAGCTACTAAAGGAGAAACTATCAATTATACTCCAATGGCAAGATCAATGGGATATAAGTCAAGATAAACTATGGCTCAATAGAGTTTAGCATGCCAGGCCTCATCTCGTTCTGCTCCTGCATGCCTCTCTCTCGCTCGGAGGGAAGATCACTCAGTTTGAATTCTTAAAAAGTACTAAAAACTGCTACTCAAGAAGGAAGCCCTAATGTTGGATAGATAATATGGTAAAAATAAGCACAAATACGCTAGCACATCAAGGTGCCATCTGGGAGGACAGGGTCAGAACAAAGGTAAGTGGGGAAGCCCTTGGACTCCATGTCCCCATCTCTGAAGGAGCTTTGTTTTTCAAATGTCCTCCTGTGGAAATCCTTGGACTGCTGCAGACCCTTTGTGGTCCTGGCTGCCAAGTCCTTCAATTCCTCAGCAAAGGCAAGCCTGACCTCCAGGCCTGAGAATACAGGGCCAAGATCGACTTCACCGGAGACAAAAAAGCAAAGCAGAAACCCCATGCACAAATGTGTATTCTGTGCTCATTATTTCTATCACAGCCTCAGTGCCTAAGGGTCCAAAGGCCCCACTCTTTAATCTTATGTCAGAAATTTAAACCTGGGTGACCCAGATTCAGTTTTTCATAATTTAATAGGAACTTGGGAAACCCAAGCTAGGAAGAAGATTAAAAATCACCAGCAATAACAAAGCCTCCAACATCTGTTCAGTGGATTAGCATGTTAGATGCATCACAGTTCCAACCCAATAGACCTGAATTTGTCCTTCTTAGAATATCATTTGAAAGATCCCCCCTGTTCAGAGACTCATGATACTATGCCAGGAGTTGGGGTAGAACAATTAAGAATCACTGCTCGTCTTCTCCAAAAGATTCCCCCAAAGAGGCCCAACACAAAAGAAAACATTGAAATACAATATTGCAGGCATAGCTAATTAAAGCACAAATCAAGAAGAAAAACCAGTTAACATCCGAGGCAAACGAAAAATGGATCCCACCTTTCATATGAAAACTCAAAAGAATGAATCACAAAATAATTAATTATGAAAAGCACCTTGATGCAACTAATTGTTTGACTGCCAACCCAATATCCCACGAGAGTAGGATCATAATTAGAGCACCAACAATGACTTGGCACAAGGACACTGAAATCCATCTTGTGCGTCCTGTCCCAGGCAGCTGGAGCAAATCCTTCCCGAACCACTTCAGACCTCAAATGCACCAATCCTCCATTTCCTTCAGTTAGAAGGGTAGTCATCACTTCACTTTTCTTGAGCTAAAACCCCCTTCCCCCAAAGAAAGTGGTGAAATGCTGGGCCCAAGTCCCGGGTCCACTGGCAGACAGTCACCGACAGGTGAGTGGGGTAGGACAGGTATCATCTATTGCCTCTTCTATGGCTGGAAACACTGAGGGGTAAAAGCATGATCCAGGAGCAGCCACAACTCAAGGGCTCTTCTCGCCTTGGCCAAGTTCCTAAAGCATGTGGGATGGGACACCAGCCTTAAAGCTACAAGGCCTTGGTTTTCATGCCTGTCAGTCACCCCACATAATGAAAGGGCCTTGGCCACGCCCACTCCTCAGGTATTATCTTGTACCCATCACTTGCCACTCAGTTGTTCCCCAATCAATGGGCATCCACACAGATGCTGTTTCACAGGGGGCCTTCTTCTGGTCAATGAATGACCTCCTTGGAGGACACACCCCAAGAGGGAAGGAATCATGGGCTGATGTCTGAGTCACTTTATCAACCAAATGTCAAATCGCTTCCCAAAATGGTTTTCCCGAGTCACAGCTCCACTGCATACCCCATCCAAAGTAGGTGTACATACTTTTTCCATCTTTTGTCAAAGACGACCTGGGTTCAAAGCCAACTATAGCCAACACTGAGTAGCTTGGGTTCACTTCTGCCTGCCTCAGTTTCCAGTGCGGACACTCAGAGCACCTACTTCCCAGGGTTGTTCAGAAGATCCAATAAGATAATAACTGTTAAGGGCTTAGCACAGTGTCTGGCCCAGAGTAGGCGCTCAATTAATGTTTATTCCCTTCTTGGGGGAGAGATGAAGCCTCAGGGTTGTTCGAATGGGCTTTTCTCTTACTACAAGTGATCTGGAGCCCTCTTTTTTCATGCAGTGGTAAAGAGCTTACAGTTTTTCTTCTGAGAAAGATGGTGTGTAGGCGTGAGAATCAGGAAAACTTGTGTCTCCAACACTTCCTTGGGTGTGTGGCCCCTCTCAGTGCCAGGCAGAGGAAGAGCCACCTTGTGGTAAGGGCACGTGCAAGTGTGTGCCACAAGCTTTGAAAGGACTGTAGAAAGCATGCTCCAAAAATCTTTCTCTAGGCCAGCAGTTATCCCATGGACATCCCTCCATGAAGAACTTTTCTCATCATAAGCTCATTTTTAACAACAGCAGAAAGATTAACTGTACAGAAACTAATTGTATGAAGACACTTTTTGAAGGGTGGGAAGCTCTTCTGGCTAGACTAAGAAAAATCCAGGAATATTCTTTAGAGAGCAAACTTCATGATGCTCTATTCTTGCAGGATTAAAGGGGATGAGATTTCTATTACCTCCCACAGAAAGTAAAAAGAACGAGGACAGATGTATGTATGTATACATCTTGGGGGCCCTCTAACACAGTGGAGGATGTATCTTCAAAATAAACTTGTTAACTGAGTAGCAAAATGCTGGGTTCTAGTAACTCAATGTTCTCTTTCAATAATTAATCTCTGAAGTTATTTTTAATCACTTAATTCTACCTAACTCCTTGTCTCCTAATATATGCAAAATATTACCCAGGGAACCCAGCTTGTGACAGTGGGGACATTTTTGTACATTTGGGACATATTTAGTATTTAGTCATTTCTCAAAAAATCTTTACTCAGGAAAACTGACTCAGATATTTCCATTGTTCAAGTGCCACAAAAAAACCACTGGGTGAACAGTGTCCACTACTGATGTGCGTGTGCAGCAGACACGGAGAGGTAAGAACCAGACTTTTCTTTATATTTCAACATAAAGCTTGGTACTTAAAAAGCAAAACCAAACTGCAATATAGTGCTCTCCCAATACAACTTAGCCAATTAGCTTCTCATTCACAATTCCATGACAGTTAGGTTCTAAGTTAGCTAGAGATGGTTGTCATGCTCCACAATGAGATATGGACAGAGCAATGGACTAGGATTAAAGAGACTAGTTGTGTGACCTAAGCAAAGTCACTTGATCCTCTCATCTGTAAGTTAAGGGGGGTTAGAACAATAAATCTATGAGCTACGAAGATGGTCAACAAATAAAAGTGTAACATACCCATTTTCTTGTAGTACTCTTCCCAAGCCTTGGTATAATCAACCTGTCCAGTTGGAGCTGGATTTTGCTGATCTCCTTATTTGAAAATAAAGCATATCTCAAAATCAGTTTTAAAAGCTTAGTTGCACAAATATATTTTTAACTCAACTTATAAATCATGAGAAATGTGACTTGTCTTCAAGATAATATATTGTAAATGAAAATGATTCACTTAATACCATGCAACTATTACTAACTAGAGCTGCCCAATGAAAATGTCTTTTCCACTAGACTCATCAATATAAATGGGAGTTGGCAGCCAGTGGGCCATGGTAAGAGGCAGGAGTGACGAGGTCCTAGGCCATCACAGGTTCCCCTCCAGACTGCTACAGCTCTTAGAGTCACAGAGAAGGCCAGCAGGTCTTGGCTAAAGAGGACATCAGTACAGAAATTCCTGTTTGTCTGAAAACCAAACAACCAGACAACTGAAATAACTGGAATTTTTTTCCTACGCTCTAAAAATGAAGAGAAAATGACAAATAAGCTGACAAAGGATTTAATTTAAAATAAAAACAATTTTTAGAACAAGCCATGGGTTCAAGATTCAAACTACTTTTCTATGTGTATAACACCATACAATGATACTTGACATAAATCAAAAACTGGAAAACAGTTCAAGATAGTTTTAGTGTTTTAAAGTTTTTAATATAATTTTCAGAAAAATGGTAACCCAAGAATGGTCTCTGTGTTCTTGAATCAGCCTACATATTCCATTTACCGGTGATTTTAGAGAGGAGCTTGGTAGGTCAAGTGACTCAAGTTAAATAAAGCTATATCCTTTCAAAGTGAGCTCCATGCTATCCAATCGCAATGAAAACGGAATGAACTCAAAATATGAAATTTTGGCTTATAATGCAAACTATTTTCTTTGGATAAATGCATTTTTACCTTGTCCATTAGTTTGAGTTGTAGTTGGTGCACCTGTTGGAGCTGCAGGCGGTGGCTGTGCTTGCTGCTGATAATAATGAGCATAATAAGCAGCCCAAGCTGCAGAATTTGGGTCTGTACCTGTTTTTGCTAGAACCAAAACACAAGTTTGAGATTCACCTGTGAAAAAAAATTATCTGCATGACATGCACATTATCCCAATAGGTTATTGGTGGCGTGAGCCAGAATGCACAGACCAACTCCATTTTCTTCCCTGAGAGGGCCACTGGCCTAGTGACCTGGGCCTTCCATGATGTCCTTGGGGGCGGCCCAGCCTGATGCAGTGCAAGGAGAAAGGATCTATTTTTTTTTTAAAGGAAGGCTCCATATTTTATCGACAACTTGGATAAAGGCAAGATGGTCTCCTTGACCACCCTGCAGAGGGAACAGCTAATCCAGGGAATGACAGAACCGGGAAACAAAAAGATCTCTTCCTGAGGTGGAAGGGTGGGGCTCAAAACATCAATTCCACCAAAATGCCATGATGGAGAGAGGTAGCTACTGTGGAAAAAGATGGCATTTCATGAATGACAAACTCAGCGTATGATCTTGTGATTCAAGCCCAATGGAAATGCCATGGTGCTCTACTTTGCCTTGGTCACACAGTAAGCCCAAGCTGTGCGAGGGATGGGGGCGTGCAAGCCATACTTTAGGAAGATAACGCCCATTTCTGAGGTGCCTCTAGAAGGGTAACCTACGCAGTGGAGGAGGGCACTTAAACCCATGCCACATCATGGAAATGGGGATGTTTACACTTGGAGAGAAGAGAGCAGCCTGATTTTTGAGTACTAAAACAAGGGAGCCGTGAGATAGTGGCTCACAGAAGAAAAATTCCCTACCAATTCCAGTTGTTCCAAAACCAAGTGGGCTGCCCCCAAGAAATTCTGAGTTTCCTAGATTGTATTTTCCTCAGAAATTGACTAGATTCAAAGCTTAATAAAAATTCTACTCTGAACACCTGAGATTTGTAGGCAAGGAAGACTGAACCCCATTTGGCATACTCTAAGGAAAAAGATTTCTGAAAACAAAAACACAAGCAAACAAACGTGCAACTATTTGGGAAGGAAGTGAATTGTCTAAAAAAAAAAAAACTGAAGCATTTTCAGTGCAGGAAGCAAACAACAAAAGCCTCTCATAAAGTTGAAAGACATTACAGAAGATGATCAACTAAGAAGCCATAAAGACTAGCGAACCTAAGAAACCAACACCTCCCATTTCCAGTGGTATTTTATGAATCACTGCAAATACCGCCTCTACCTAAAGCCAACGTTTCACTAGCAATCACCTAAGATGATATCTGACTGATACCCAAGGGGGAGCTGCTACAGAAGAAAATCAGTCTCATCGTTGGCACAGAGATGGACTGCCTTGTGCCACAACACACCCAACCCACCCAACCCACAAACTGGCATTTTCCAGACTGATAATCACCTCATTTATTGACCACCTCCCTTTGTTTGGAACAGCTCTTGGCATTCTGGCTCCATCTGTGTCCCCATTAAGGAGATGTGCACAGAAGGGAATCCAGGGCCACAGAAATGTGAACCCTAATTCCCTGAGGCCTCCCTACTGAAGCAGCTCTGTCCAGTGAATCCTTTCAGAGTGCCGCACCAACCTGGACCCAGGTGGCTGGTGATACCCCAAAGACAGTGAAGTGGTCAAGCCCAAACAGAAGACAATCTCAGGACTGTTATCCCAAGGCCTAAACCACAGGGGCAGGGGTCCTCACTTAATTTCAAAGTAGGGTAGGGGTAGAGTAAAACCATGGTCTAACAGACACTTTTCAGTTTGGGAAAGGTCCTAAAACGTAAGTGCCTGTGCAATACACACTGCTAGCTACTACCAAGGCTTGGAGGGCTCATGAAGAAGACTCTTCCTAGGTCACACTGAGGACAAGCATCCCCAGACCCACTTCTATCTCCTGCTGCCTCTCATAAGCAGAGTCCAAGTCAGAGTCAAGCCCCCTGGCCAAGACACGGCTATCATTTCATGGGTGTGCTTGATGTGAGACTGCACCCTGCCTCTACCACACCACCATCCCCCCCAAAAAAAGAATTCTAGGAGCATTCTACACAGGAGTAGTGTGAAGGCTTGAAATACTGTGATATCTTTCACCTGGATCAGGTGGGTTCTGCTGCTGCCAATGGGGATAGGCATTTCCCCACCCTTGGGGAGCATACGGAGCTGGAGGACCACTGGAGAAGAAAAAAAGGGATACTGAAGGTAACTCACCAAATCCATCTCTTAAGAGGTTAAAAGCCCCAGAATAAAAGCCCAATACTTACTGAGGAGCAGGGCCTGGTGGTCCTGGATTATAAGGCGCAGGATTGTAGGGCCCCATTGGATTTCCAGGCCCCGGAGGCCCTGGAGGCCCATGAGGGCCTGGCACACCATGAGGCCCATGGGGAACAGGTGGACCTAAGGGATTGACTGGACCCTGTAAACAAAAGAACATATTTTAAGATAGTAACAGAACAGGTTATGTCTAGTCCCCAAAGGGACAGAACAGACAAAAGACCAAATACAACTGAGCACTAATGGATCAATCAGACAAGCATTTATTAGGTGACTACTATACACCAGGCCCTGTGCCAAGTGCTGGGGACACAAAGGAAGGTAAAACTAGTATGTAAGTACCCATGCAGCTCCCAGACACATGTGTGGATAACACACATTTACAAATCTAAGCGGAAGGCAACCTCCGAGGGAAGTGAGCTGTGGGGGTGGGAATGACTGGCTGGTAATGCTCAACTGCAGAAGGTGAGACTGAAGCCAAGTCTTGGAGGTGAGGAGAGGAGAGTGATTTTCAGGCATGGAGGAGCAAAAAATAAGTAGGCAGTGTAGCTGCATTATAAGCTAGGAATAGTTTTTACATTTTTAAATAGTTGTTTCTTAGCTCAAGAGCCAAATTAAGCAGGCTGCTGGGTGGCAGTAGTTTGCTTCTTATGGCTGAGGGAGTAAGGTGTGAGAAGAATGGAAGTGGAGGGAGGGGCTAGGTGACACCATGGAGAGCGTTCTGTGCTTGCTCCTGGAGGCAACAGGGAGCCCCTGAAGTTTACTGAGTAGGGGAGTGCCGTGGTCAGCCCTCCCTTTTAGGAAAATCCCTCTGATGGCTGAATGGAGACAGGCAGACCCCCCAGCAGGGTGGCGGCAGTACCAGAAGAGAGGAGGGAGCTGACTGGAGAGATGCTGCTTAAGTAAAATCCACAGGTGTTTACAGCACCACGGGGGGTGGCAGGTGGTGACACCAGGGTGTAAGCCAGAGGGACTGGGAGGATGGTGATGTGTGTGAGACAGAAAGAAGGAGGCAGAGAGAGGGAGGGAGGGGGAGAGAGAGAGAGAATATAGAAGGAGGGAGACAGAGAGGAATAGAGAGAGAGAATAGAGAAGGAGGGAGAGAGGATGATAATGAATTCTGTTTTGGGCAGTTTGTTTCGTTCAAAATACCGACAGGAAATCCAGTTGGAGCTCCATGCGGGAGCTGAGGAAACCAGACGGCAGAACAGACACACCTGCGAGTCATCCCCTTAAAGATCCTAACTGACCCCACAGGGGCTGATGAGATCCCTGAGTGGATGGTCTTGGACGGGTTGGCTGGTGGGTAGCACCCAAAGGGAAATCCAGCCAAGTAGGGGAACCAAGAGACGGGGAGGAGGCCTGAGAAAAGGCCCATCGTCACTGCTAGGAACCTTGTCTCCCACGTTCCTAACAGCCTATGCTCTCACCACCTGGAGCTCCCAAGTGTCCAAGTGGGTTTGTCTTCCTAACGCACGGTGGCTCTAACATGAGACACTCTCAGCCCTCGGCCTTTTCAATACCCACTTCAGAGATAACAGCTGCTCCTTTCTTCTCCATCACTGTAACCGTAGGTCTTTGCAAAGACCAAGCCCTGACATTGTGTTTGTCACAATGCCCTCTCGCCTCACTTTAGGGAATGGAAGACTCCGGAGAGCAGGCAAAAAAGACAGTTACTGCCCAGCTGACCAGTGGACCTTGTTAGTTTTAAGACTGATTTGAGTAGGGACAGGGGTGACCCTGGGCTTGAGGAGGCAGTGCCCAAAGAACACAAGTCCTAGCCATGGAGAGAAAGGCTGGCTACAGGAAAGGGGCTGAACTCTCCATCGCCAGGAGGGGTGCTGGCAGTTCAGGCAGCACTGAAGGGCCGCGTGCTGCCCCTGAACCATCAACACGAGTGCAGGCACCAAGCTCCCTTGCTTTCCTGCCTGCGGCAGCCCCAGGAATACTCACACCAATCTTCTCCTCTATGAGCTGCCTCGCATAATCGATCTGCTGTGGAGTTCCCCGTATTGTGAATAACTTCATGTTGGGGTCTGCATTCGGAGGAGGGTTCCTCTGCAGTTCTATCCTAGCACCGGACTGTTGGCTTATGCTTTTGATAGTTTCTCCACCTGAAATACAAGTTGGTTGGTCTGTTTTCTTCCTCAGGTCAAAGACCATGGAAAAGGCCTTCCCCAACTCTTCATGCCATCTGAAAGCCCTCAGGCATCACTTTCCACTTAACTCAATAGAACATGGTGTCCGAGATGTATCAGAGAACGGACAACTTTCAAGCTAATTTGAAGAAAATGCAATGCCTTTTCAGACAGGGGAAAAAAAAAGGCTGAAGCCCATGAAAACATCTGGCTTGAATTTACTCCTCTTGTAAGCAACTGAGTCTTTAACACTGCAAAGTCCATTTCTTCCTGTTTTAGGTTGAAGCAAAATCACTCCCCTGTTTTTCTTTACAGCTCTATGCAGCCCACCATGACGACCCTTTCCCTCCCAGAGGACCACCACTCAGACTCTGGCTACGAGAATGAAGAGCATCTTGCCTTTTCCGATGATTAATCCAGTTTTCCCAGTTGGAACGATGAAGTTAAATTCCTGCAGCCCGCCGGGTGGCCCCATGCTCCAGTTGCCTTGGCCTCGGCCTCTGCCTCGACCGCCAGGTCCTGGTCCACCAGGGTTACCAGCCTGAGAAGAAACAGCAAGTCAGCACCCAAATTCCGAAGCCCCATTCTGGCAGCCTCCTCCCCACCAAGGCTGAGCAAAGCACCCGCAGGGTGCTCCCTGATGACCTTGGAAGCAAAACTTCAGACCTGAATGCTTCGAAGGAGGTCAGTGATAATCTCTGCTGCATGCTGACACCTGTCTGGAGGGCCTGTGATCTGGGCTATTCGATCTGGGGTAGTCCCATCATCTGCAAAGAGCACATACCTGAGTCACCCTAAATGCACCAACAAGAGGCAGAGACCTAAGACTCAAGTGTGGACACTCACCTGGCTTGAATTGGATCCGAACACCAGCGTCATTCTGAATCTTTTTGATCATCTCGCCGTTTCTGCCGATCACAATCCCCACAGCAAATCTCGGTATAGGGACCTGGTGGAAGGTGATGGAGTTGAGAAGAAATAAAAATTAGCCAGGTTTTTCAACATGAAAACATAGCAGAACACCTACGAGGGCAAGGTGAGAAGCCCCAAAGCTTCCCTGAGAGGCAACGAAATGGAGAGTGAACCATTGTAAAGAGTGGAGGCAGGAAGAAGTGACCTCAGCAGTGATACTCACATCTATGCCTTCATTTCCTCCTATTCTCGACCCATATTCATTGCGCACCTCTCTGAAACCACCTTGATCACGGATTAACTCCAAAACCATTTCCTTAGCTTGCTAAAAAAGCAGGATAAAATAAGGCCCATCAGACAGGTCTGCACAAATGACTCCCCTGTCCCAAACTCCAAAGAAACACAGCGACACTTACCTGGACTTTGTAAGGGTCGCCTGTGATCCTCAGAGGCTTGTCAGCACCAGTGTTTTGAGGCCCATCCTGAATCATCACCATTTTAACACCAGCTCGTTCCTGTTTCAAACAAAGTAACATGTGTCAAATAATAATGAGAAAGATTCAAAACAGTGAGGTGGTTTTTTACACTCTTGGTACCTGAAGCTGCTTAATAGTCTCGCCGCCTTTTCCAATAACTAGGCCAGCCTTGCTGGCTGGGATCATGATTTCTTGAACTGCATTGCCTGGTCCATCCCCATGATGAAAGCCGGGGGCTGGCCTTCCCTTCTCAACAATCTGGTCAAGTAACCGCTTGGCTGACCTGGGGAGGGGAGAATGACAGTTAACAGTCTGTTCAGAGAGAAGTAGCTAGAATCCACACTACTGGAAAAGGAGATAGAATGTCTGCCTCAGTTTCTTCAATGGCAAAATGCTGATAATAAAAGCACCTACATCCCAGGGTCATTGTGAGAACCAAATGAAACAGCATCTGTAAAGCACTTAGCCCAGGGCCTGCATGTACACTGTAGGTGCTCCATAAATGCTTGTTTCCTTCCTTCTATCCTTGAACAAGTCTGTTCAAGAGCAGTGTTTTAATTTGGCAAAGTTAGGTTGTCCAAATCTACTTTAAGAGGATTCCCAGCTCTGCCACCAAATCTGGACATAATCTGAGGAGTTCATTTGTGCAAAGGAGGGTAGGGGACAAAGTGACTGCAAGGATCTGGTCCACAGTAAAGAAAGATGTGAGAATTGAGCCCACTAGCCAGGCCCCAGTTAATATACTCACTGAACAGATTCAGGGGTTCCGGTTAACATACAAGACCTTTCGGGCAGGCCACCACTGTCTGAAACAAACAGAAAAACAAGAATCATATTTAAAAGTGGGATGAATGGCCAGAGCCAGTCACTAGCAGGCAAAAACCAGTGAAGAGAAGGGTCTCTTACCAGGAGCGATTTGTATTTTGCATCCAGACTCCTGTTGTATGCGTGAAATCTGCTCACCTCCTCTGCCGATTACTAACAGAAACAGAAAATCAGTGGTTGAAAATTCCAAGAAGATAATATTGGACAAAAGTTTTATTTACTCCCAACTTCTCAACATCACTTACTGAATCCAACCATTCCATCCGGAACTTTGTACTCTTCTGTCATTACTGACCTAATTGGAAGGAAAGAAAGAAGCTAAGTTACGATCTTCTCTGACAAAAAAACATTAGGTAGCATTCTAACTGACTCCAGGCCCAGTGCTCTGGGCACTGCATTGCTTCCAGAGTTTTCAGTATCTCTTTATGGACAGAACGGATTCCTCCCTTTAAGCACACACACAAAAAACTCCACTGACATTTGAGTCTTAATAAAGTTTATAACAAAAACAAACCAAAAAAACCAACCCAACCCAACGCCAGTACATTTACATTATCTGCTAAACCATAATAATATTTCTGCTTCTATTAATTTCCTCTAAGCTGGCCAAGTATACTCCTAAAGTCATCCTCACATTCATCACGGTTTAAATGCATCTCATTGCCACCTCCCACAAATCTATTATTACCATCAACATTTAAACTGAGAATATGCAAAGAAAGGAGCTGTATGGTCTACCTTTGTTGCTGATGCATTGGCGGTAACTGGGTTCCAAAGGCTGAAAAGAATGAATATTTGCAACTGTCAGAACTTTTCTTACACAAACCCACAGTCCACAATTAGCTCCCCTGCTGTGCCTTCTGAGGATCATTACATTTCACTTAAAAAGCTAAGATAAGCCTTTCCAAAAAGCCAGCTCAAAGTCAGAAGAGGCCATCACTGGGGAAAGAAGGGGATGGTCTCAAGTGGTTTGTTTTCCATTCTCTGGGCTTTTCAGATGCCTAAGGGAATCAGGGATGGGAGAGAGGAATACATGTGTCCTTTTCCAACATGAACATTTTAGGTTTGAGAACTGAGACTCCCTCTCCTCGTCAGTATACGCGAGATTGCTCATCACCTCCCCTCCCTCCCTACACAGTTGAGTTTTGATATTGAGGGGAATGAAAACTCAAGGGCCTAACTACGTCGTGGAACATCACCGCAACCTGAGGCCAGAAACCCTCACAAGGAGGTGACTAGGGCCCAGCAAGGTCCCAAAGCCTGTGAAATGTCAGAGGCAGGATTGTTAACCCAGGATGATTCTTGATGACAGACTCAGCACCTGTGTCCTTCTAACTACCCAAGCTTGTGTTGGTCATCACTGACTGGAAATGACTGTGAATGCTGTGTTGGAAGAAACCAAGAATGATGTGCACTAAATCACAGCATCAAGAATCAATAAACAGTCCCCACTGACTAACTCAACTAAACCATCTGGGCTGCATACAGACAGCAGAAAAATCTTCCTGCTCGGCTGAAACCAGAACACTCACCATCATTCTGAGGAGCGACCTTCTTAGCGTCTGGCTGATCTGGAAAACGAACAGTTTTTAAACATTTTGGTCCAGAAGCCCAAGATACCTTTAAACTAGTGGCTGTCCCATGAATGTCAACTGTACCATTTTTTTTTAAAAAGAACACACCTTGATGTACATATTTTATTGAAATTTCAGGGGTGTACTTTAGTTTGACATTTGAACCAAAATTTAAAAATTAAAAAAAACACACAAAGAAAAGGAAAAAAAGGGAAAAAGAAAAAAAGGAAACAAACACAAAAAGCCACCAACCCCAGAATGTTAGTATTCTAGAAAAATCAGATGTTTATTCTTTCATTCTGTTTTTAAAGAGGCACAAACATTTAAGAAACAAAACCTTTAATTTACAGACATTCAATCACAGACCTGAATGTTGGCTAACTATTTTAGAATGATATAAGACAGTATTTAACTCTGTTACTAGGCAAAGAATTAGGTGCTAAGGGCTAATGATGCTTCCATAGTAGGAACTAAAGATTAAAAAACCCTCTCAAAATGTGGAAAAAGACGGGACACACCAAGAGTCCAGTCTATGTGACAGCAACAAAAGTAGGCAAGAAAAAAAAATCATGTATCGACACAGCCTCAGGCTTGACTGTCAAACATCCCCAGCACACAAGTCCCCTCTCTTCATCCAATCCTTTATGCAATGAATATTTTAAAATAGACATTTGTTATCAGGAAATAACCCTTCAGAGGCTTCTTCCCACCCCAGATTCAAGTTCATCTGATATAACATTGTAATGATGGGCAGCAAAAACTGAGACACAGAATCCAAGAAATGTCTATCTGTGTCCATTTCGAGGAGCCATCAGTTTATTTCACGTTTACACACTAAACACAGGTAATAAATAAAAATTCCTGCCTTTAAAAGGAGAGGGCATTCCCTCCCAGTGTGTTGTACTGCTCGGACTTGTCCAAGAGCCATCTACACATGAGATAAAAAGAATACATTACATATATCATCTGAAGCATCATTAGCTCATTTCTGTATATTTAAAACCTCACTCTTAATAGGAAAAACATTATTATGAATGGAAACAAGCATTCCTGGTCAAAGGCTAGGATACATTCTATAGGCTATTACCGTCCTTTTCCAACAAAAAAACAAAGAAAGTATAAAGCAAAAAAAAAAAAAAAAAAAAAAAAAAAGAAAGCAAAAAAACAAAAAGTGCCAAAGCTCACATATAGCACACCTAGCCAAACAACTTGAGTGGACTTTCTAGAGCTTGCAAGTTTCTCACCAGTGAGATGCACAGAAATGTGTGTACTTTAAAAAACACAGAGCCCTGGTTACAACACCCAGACTAACTTTTAAACTGAAAACAAATCCCACAAACACCACAAAAAAACCAAACCACTAAACACACCCAAAGGGCACGTCCTATTACCACCTTGATCAGGTCACAGAAGGGACGTGACCTTGAGTAGGATCTGTGACACGCTTCCTAGACTGAATAAGCTTCATTTTCTACTGGAGAATCAGTAGTTATTGGACCAACCGACTCCACCTACTGCTGCCCCCAATGTCGCCTACCTTACCTAAAGTGCCCCCCAACATAATTGGTCACATTTGTAGCTCCTTCCTCTCTGAAATTAAGTAATGCTTTGGTCGCAGTTGTCCGTGATGAAGCACTTGAAAAGAGAGAAAACAGTGACAACGAGATAGCATACCTCCATCCTCCAAAGGCCTTTTCTGTCCCCCATAACCATAGTCATTTGAATTCAGTGACGTGCCTGCATCACCTCCAATTTTGGCTGCAATCTTGAGGGGAAAGAAAAGAAAAAACATGTAGTTATTTTCAAAAAATACAATTCCCTCCCAGTCAGACAAGTAATTCTTTTTTATTATTTACACATTATATTCCTCTACTAGAGGTAGGTAGCACAACGGATAGAATGATGGGCCTGGAGTCAGTAAGATCTGAATTAGAATCCCACCTCAGTCACCTCTTACCTGTGAGACCCAGGGCAAATTACTTGACCTCTTTGCCCAGGTTTCCCCAGCTATAAGATGGGGATAATAATAGCAACATCCCCCACCCCACCCAACGTTGCTATGAGAACCAAATGAAGTCTATGTAAAACACTCAACACAGTGTACTTACTACAGTACCCTGCCCATAGTAGAGTGCTGAAAAAAATGCTTATTCCTATCCCTGCCCCTTCCTTGGGGGGAAAGAAGTCTGGTCGAGAATGAGAACGGTACGGTGTAATTCAGCTCCAGAAATCCCAAGTGGATGCAGCGATGAGGAAGGGAGGGCTGCTAAAATGTGAAGCCCCCTGCAAGGGGCTGGGATTCTAAAGACAGAAAATGGGGGAAAAGCAGAGAGGAGGCAAGACTGTGCCCCTGAGCCCTGAGGGAACAAAGAGAAGGCAAGAAGCCCAATCTGGTTGGAAGAGGGGACTGCTCAGCAGCCTGATAGCCCAGGCTGAGACTGAGGGGATCACTTCGACAGTCTCAGCCAGGGGTCTCTGTGACCCTTGGCTTTTGGGACATCTTCCCTAGCCAATAGGAAAAGAAATAATTCTAGAGTTTATCATATATGGCACATAAAAAAATGCCGAGATTAATTTGGATAGGACAATTATCTACCCAACATCCTCTATGACCCATGATGAGCTTCTTATACCCCCTTCCCACTCAGCGGAGGTTATTTTATTTTGGAAACTCCTGGTCTAGTCAAGAGGAGATGAGGGCCTCAAGCCACAGAAGGGCGAAGAGGACTTGGCTCCTGATGGCAGTGGGGGAAGAGATGAGGATCTTCAGAACCAAGGATAACTGTTTAAGATTTGAACCTAGGTGACTGGAGGAGGGTTTGTCCTTCACTTGAGGACGCTAGACAGGAGGCTTAATTCTGGAGGATCTCCTGATAGAGCTGGCTTCAGAGCAGACTTTGAAACCTGCTTAGCTGAATTAGGAGGAGAAACATTTTCAGCCAAGGTCCACAGGGAAGCTGAGTACTATCGAACAGTCTGGTCACTTGGCCAGTGTGCAGGAGAAGGGAAGGGGCCAAAGAGTGTCACCTCTCTGCTGCCTCCACCACAAAGGAGCCCCTCCCTGATCCACTCCTTTTTACAGCTGGTGGGGGTTTTAAGTTCTGACTGGTGCCAAAACAGGCACAACAGACTAAAAGTTAGGTAAAATGCTCAGTGCTTGTCAGTAACTACTTCAGAGGATCATGAGAAAAGTCCTTAATAAATTAAAAAAAGGAGACAGGTGAGCAACCATCATTTCATGAACTCTCAGCATGACACCACCTGCCTGTGTCTAATCTTACCAAACTCTTTTGCTACAGGAAACTGACTACTCAGTGCCCCCTCATCACCCCCCATTTCTATGCTGGAGATCTTAAAAGCATCTTCATTCCTTCCTGTTGTTACCTATCATCCTTTCAAGCACTCGGTTCTATCTAATGAAGGAGTTCTTAACCTGAGCTGGGTTTTTGGTTTTTTAAATACCAGTATTTCAATGGAAACATGTAAATTTTATGCATGGGCTTCACTGGTGGCCAAAGGGGTCCCGTGAGGAGCAATTCTATTATTTGTCAGCCACCAACCTAGTTCACTCCCCCACCCACGGACTGTAAACTCCTGAGGTCAAGGCCTACATCCCCAGCAACATCTAGTGGGTGCTGGGTTAAGTGCTGCTGAACTCTTGACAGCTGTCTGACACCAGTTTGTGCGTGTTTCTATATGCCCACGGCTTCAAAGAATCACCGGCCCATCCTAAGGGCTCTCTGTCAGTGACACCAGAGCCGTCTCAGAGACAACACTTCCCAAGCCCCCCACTTCCAGGACCACGGCCATCCCCATGGGTGCTCCACTTCCTCAACACTAACCTCCAGATTTGGGTCTCCAGTGAGACCAGACCTAGACAGATATCTGGCCCACCCAACATTCTCTACTTTATTGATCGAGAACTTGCAGCTACACAGTCGGAACCAGAGCTTGGAGCATCTTCTATTCTAACCAAGAAGTTAAATTATACTGAGGACTTCAGGATCTGTTCTGCAGAAGACACTGAGCAGGGCACAGCTCTGCCACCCAGCCACTCATTTTTCAAGCCTCTTCCTTTGTTTTGTGCGGCAGCAGTCAGGGGCCACCAGCCCAGTCTAGCGGGACCTGCCTCAACTTGAGAACTGGGCCTCATGGAGGCTGAGCTCCTTGTCTAAGGTCACACAGGTGTTCCAAGAGAAACAAAACGAAGGTCTCCCCAGTCCAAACACCTTTCTCCTGGGCTCACTGGGTTTCCTACAGAACCAGAGGGTTGCCCTGAGTTCTGCTGAACTTTCCCTTGGGATGGCATCCAAGAGATTCACAGCCTCGTTGGGGTGCAGCTGATTCCTCCTTCCTCCCCCTACAGTCAGCACTCTCTGCCATGGGTCCATCCTAACTCTCATTCTGTCACTTGTTACTCATTTGTTTCCAAATGAATTCACTAGAGGTTTCCCTCATCATTTTGTGAGTTCTGTCTAATATTCTCGGCCCTTACTTAGATGACCAGTCTACCTGATTACTCACTTGTTTCCTTTAGGTTCAACGAAGTACAAATTTCAATTTCCTTCCAGTTCTGAGAATTTAAAACCAATGCAGAACAGGCTATTTCACTTCTACTCTTGGAGGAAAACAACAACTAAAAGAAAACACCAGTTGATTGTGGTTTTATTAAAGCTTCCTAAATCACTGAAAATTATTCTAAAAATCTTGTATTTATTGCTTTTTAAAAACTGCATTTTTACTTTAAAATATATCCCTTTGTTACAGCAAGTCAGCCCTTGTCACAAAAAATTTAAAACAAAGAAAAACCAAGCAATATACCAACTGGATGCAATACTGCTACCAAAATACTGAAGCAGCCCTTTCTGTATCAACAGAAAACTTTAAACCAAGTCCATGATGTGAGGCTAACCTAGTGGAGAACAGCTAACTGAACTGCAGTCCGAGAACATAATGGTATATTAACTCACCATAAGAAATACATAGGAATTCAGAGAAGCACAGGGAAATGCCTGTCAAGGCAAACTATGGACAAGAAAAGCTTCTCGCGAAAGCAAACCTTGTAGAATCCTAATTGTCAAGCAAGGCCCCAAGGAGAAGGAAACAAGGGCACTGTGGGGGGGGAACCTTCGAAGATGCACACACAGTGTTGGGGTGTTGGCTACAGTTTTCCTAACTGGCTTTGTTACAAGAAAGCTTTGGGGAGGTGCGCTTTCTTCAGCTTCTTGAATGCCCTTTGACACCACGTGCCAATCATGATCACCTACACCTGGTCCGAGGGTGCTGGGTCCCCAGCCTGGAATGCTCTCCTTCCTCTGCTGCAAATCCTGGTCTCCCCAACGAAAAGCCCACCCTCTACAAGAAGCCTTCCCCCAATCCTCCTACTCATGCTGTATGTGCTTGCTTTGTATACTTTTTTAATGCTGTTTCTCCCATTAAGGTACAAGCTTGAGGGCTGCAACTGTCTTTCATCTCTTTTTATATACCTTGTGCTTAACATGTACAGTCATTTCAGTTCTCCAAATCTTTGTGCCCCTTTTAGGAGTTTTCTTAGCAAAGATACTGCAGTGGTTTGCCATTTCCTTCTTCTGCTCATTTTATAGGTAAGGAAACCAAGGCAGACAGGGTTAAGTGACTTGCTCAGGGTCACACAGCCATTAAGTGTCTGAAGCTGGATTTGAACTCAGGTCTTCCTGACCCCAGGCTAATCACTTTATGTACTATGGTGTGGCACATAGTTGCTTAATAAATGTTTACTGATTTTCTGTTGGGTGGGTATCATTCCAAATTGCTTTTGAAAATGGCTGAACCAATTCACAGCTCCATCTTCTCACTGTCCTAAAATACGGATGATTTGCATCTCTTGTCACGTCTGCCAATTTGCTGGATGCAGAAGTTGTTCTGGTGGGCATTTTTATTATTAATAACGTGGGGCAGTCTTTATATGGTTACGTTATGATTTTGAGGGAAGAGTTGTTTGTTCATATCTTTTAATCACTTATCCTTTAGGGAGTGGCTCATTTCCTAAAGGTAATTCAGAACCCTGTCAGAGGCATTTGATAAAAAGATCATTCCCTGACATTTCCTCTTATCCTAATTCCACTGCCTTTTAGAATGAATTTTTTTAAAATTTCATGCAATGGAAATTATGCATTTCTTTTTTAGGACTGTCTGCATCCTTTGTTTAATTAAGAATTCTCCAACATGTCACTGTAACCTGGCTTTATTAAAACTTTCAAAAATGGTATTAACTTTTCATATTCAAGTCATGTCTTCTTTGATCTTGTGGTATGGAGTGTACAATGGTGGCCTAACCCTAATTTCCTAAAGGACTAATTTACAATAAAGTTTAGTGTTAATAAAACAGCATAAATGTGAACAGCTAAATGAGCAGCCAAAGGACAATAGTTTTTTTTTTGGTCTAAATGGGTTCTCCATCCTTATTATTCAAGAGTATGAGTCTTTGGAGAGATGCCTTTTTTTTTTTAAATGGAGGATGAACAATGCATCTTTTAAAATCCATTTTAAATACTTCTCTTAAATTTTCACAGCCCATTCCTAAGGAGGTAAAAGCATTCTAAGTCATCTGAAGTCCAAAGGCAGGCTTGATACCTCACTCACTTCCTAGCTGTGACTGGGCAAGTCCCTCGCCCTTTCTAGGCCTCAAGCCTGCTCATCTGTAACATTAGAGGTTTGACTCTTTTCAGCTCTAAATCTAAGGTGCTATGTCACAGCAACAATGCAGAGAAAACACGAAGCGAAATGCACCAAGAGTTTCACTCCCAATGGTCCAAGAAACACCCTTTTAGGCTCAATTCTAAAACACTGGACCAGAGGCTCCAATCTGATGCTCAAGGTAACCTGCACCTTGTATACCTCAACTGAGAAATTTCCAGTGAACACAACATGTCCTGACCTAAGGCTTTGCAACAAGAGCTTCCAAATCCTAGGATAAAAGCCCCGTATCATTATTTTAGGGCACCATAAAACACTCAAACCTTTTCTAAAGCTTCTCTCCAGGACAGAAGTGGCTTATGGTACCCATCTTCTCTCACTAGACCCAAACTTAAGCCAACTCATTCTCCTACCATCCCGGTACCCAAGGCCATGTCCCTTAGTCTAGGGCTCACAGATGACAGTCTATGCTCAGGAAGCCTGAATACTACAAATGTCAGAATTTAAGAATACCTCCGAGGACCAAGATATGTCAATTCACATAGTGCATTTTTTTTAAACCCGTAAGACAAAGAAAATAGACAGGATAGAAATTTTTATTTCAAAGTAAAAGCAATAAATTTTTTTTCATTGATGTTCCTGGTCCTTTTGGTGTTAAAAATCACCATCTGTCACCCTTTTTCTGGAAGCATTTTGTCTAGATACCTAGTGTACTTCTGTACATGTATCTCTCTGAACTGGAAAGGAAAACTACTTGAAAGGAGATTCTGAGTATCATCTGCAGAGCCTTCCCCACAGCATAAACCTTATCAAGACTTAATGACTTAATGATCAAGAGAACATACAGTCAAATATATTCATTTTAAAGCTAAGGAACTGAGGCTCCAAGGAGTGATCTGATTCAAGGTTAGGGCTAATTTCTCACCCAAAACCAGTTTGGAAAGTCTGCCGGCCAGATCTGGGCTCTTCCTACAGACAAGAAGGAAGACAAGGTGTTCCAAGAGATCCTCAAGTTACTGAGCATGCTTCCATACTCCAGAAGAGCAGTCAGCCCACCAAGGAGGCAGATTATGACCCTTCCTAGGCTCAATATGGTGTCATGGGTTGTTGTGGCCAACCAAAGGTAGAAGAAAAAAAAAAAAAACCTCAACAAAGTCAGACAAAAACCAAAAAGGCTCCCCATCTGCTCTCCAATCTTTCAGAACTGAGTTTCTTCTCACTTTTTGGAGCTGGACCGATAGTCAGTCTTTCCAGTTTGATGGGCTCTGGCAGAGCCTGAGTCCCTGTCGGAACCTTTGAGAACCTCAGGTCACTGCCACACCATAAAGCCTAGGAAGAGGCGGTTTCCACCAACATCAAGGGTTTGGGCACTGTACGAGGGGCCTCACACGGGCACATGCCGTTAGGACCCAAACACTGGGTAAAGGTTAACAATTCGGAACTGCCTGGAGCAGGTCTCTCTTGTGGGTTTTGATGCTGGTCCCCTAACTACTAAACCACAGTTTCCACAAAATAAATGCAAGGCAGTTAGAGCATCAGCAATGGGGATTCTGAGGCAGAGAACATTCGAGAACGGGAGACAAGCGGTGGAGGGCTGCCTCGGAGAGCCGAGAGCAGGCCAAGTTGGGACCTGGCTGAGACAGGCTTTAAAAGCCAGACACATTTATGTTATATGTGAAAAGCAACAGGGAGCTTCTAGAGCTTATTAAGGAGTGAGAGTGGGGCACACTGAGAACATTTAGTGGGGAGAATCTTAGGAAAGGGAAGAAATGTTTTACAGAGTGCCTACTATGTTCCGGGCAGCATGCTAACCACTGTTTCCAAACAGTATATCATCTGGGGGGTGTGTGCCATTATCACCCACGTTTTGCAAACAGAGGTTAGCATCCAGCTTGGTCTTTTAAGAAAAGAATTTTAACAAACAGAAATGGAGGATGTGGAGGGATGGCAGATGACTTGAACCGATACTGGCTGGCAGGTGAAACAGAAAAGGGGGATGTAGTCTTTAAAGGTAGATGCAAACACAGTAAAGAACAGTTTCTTTGTGGTGGACATGGCCTTCTATTCAAGCACTATTCAGATGCCTCATGAAGGCACAGAGATGGGTACCAGGGCAGTTAAGAGCACCCAGGACCAGCTTTGCTCCAGCCACAGTGGTGGGGTGACTGCAGGGCAACACTAAAGTTGTAGAGGTTCAAAGAGAGGTGCCCACAGCAAGCCACAAGCTCTTGGGGCCCCGGGCTGGCCAATCGCCTACTGAGGCTGTGTTCTATCTGACCTAAGGGTTTTCAAATCCAGTGAAATCTCCACGTAGGCCTTATCTTGGCGCCTTCAATCGTTCAGTGCGGCGGCTGGCACAAAACAAGCACTGAGAAAAGTAGTGAATGGAGCTGGAAAACAGAATGCCAAGCACCCAAACGCTGCCCTGTGAAGACCCTATTCATAATGGAAAAGCAGCCTAGAAAGCCAACAGATGCTGCTGCTCCTGCCCGGCACCAGGAGAACCTGGGGAAGGGACTGGCTTTAACGCAAAGGTCCACCCTGCCCACTTGGACGCAGGAGCTACCCTCTGTTCTGAACTGGGCAGCACCCGCTCCTCCCTGCTGTAACACGAGGAGCCCCCGAGGTCGGGCGTCATTTTGGGGACCCCGGCTCAGCCCGATGGCCAGGCAATCACGGCCACAACCCCGCTTTCCTAATTCGGCCAGACCTCTGCTCGAAGAAGGGTTCCCTCCCCAAGCCTCCCGTGGTGTGACTCAGTTTCTCCATCCTGCCCCCGGGGCATCCACCCCGCCTGGAGAGTCCTACACGCCCCCTCCCCCAGCCAAGCGCGGGGCGCTGGGACAATGGGCAGCCCCCTCCCAGGATCCCAAGCCTGGGAGGGGGGCTCCCCGGTGACCCCGGTACTCCCCACCCGAGGCGACCCCTTAAGCGTCCGCCGGTGAGGGAGGGGTGCGTCTCCTGACCGGTCCCCTCGGATGGGAGCTCCCAAAGCGCTCCGAGCACGTGCCCCAGCCCGGACCCCGGAGGGCGGGGTCACCGCCCCCCGGCCCACGTGGGGCTCCCCCTCCCCCACTGGCCGGACCCCAGGCCCCCCCCCCCCCCCCCCGGGCCCGCCTACCGCGGGGGGCCCGGGCCGTTTGGGGGCGGGCGCCGGGCACGTGCGGGCCTAGGGCCGGCAGGGCCTCCGGCTGGCCCAGGGCCCCGCCTCGGGCCCGCTCCGCTCGGCCCCCCTCAGGCCCGGGCCCGGCCGCGCGGCCCCGCTCCCCACGCCCCCACCCCGCCCCTACCTGCCGCGCTCGCTGCAGCGCGTCCTTAAAGGCGTCATTGACGCCGCCACCGCCACCGCCGCCGCCCGAGCCCGAGGCCGGAGGGGGGACCGTTGAGTAGTCTGCCATGGCCCAGCTGCGGTGGCCGCTGCCGCGCGTCCCGGAGCTCCCTCTCCCAGCGCGCTGCTAAGAAAGAAAGAAAATGGCGGCCGGCGGGACCGGATCACATTCTTGCGCGACCATCGTGCCGTGCAGGGGGCGGGGACACCGGCAGGGAGATCTCGCGAGGCTGGGGGAAGGGGGCGGGGCGGGCGGGGAGGAATCAGGGGCCAGGGGTGGAGTCGGGGTGGGGGGTGGGGGGGTGCGGCGCGGCAGTTCTCGCGAGACCTGTAGATGACGCCGGGGGTGGGGTGGGGGGAATGGCGCTCGGGTCCCGCCTCCGTCGCCTTTCGTTGCTGCTGGCGGCAGGGCGCCCGCCCCCTCCGGCAAGCAGGCTTGGTAAGGTGCGGCGGGGCGACCGCGCTCGGTGTCTGGTAGGGAGAGGAGGGTGGGCGGCTGGCCGGGGGAGGGGCCGCGGTGCGGAGCGCGGGCTGGTGACGGAGCTCAGCGACTCGTTGAGGACTGGGGTGCGGAGAGTGAGGCGGCCATTGGGAGGGCGGGGATACGGGCGGTGACGTCAGCACGCCAGCGACGCAACAGTCCCAGAAGACGTCGGGACGTCGGGGCGGCCGCGGGCGGGGCAGGCGCGCGCTGCCCCGGGGCTTCCTCTGGCGGCGGGGCGGAAGCGAGAGGCGGGCGCCCCGGAGAAATGCCCCGCCGAACGCGGCCCGGGGGCTGCGGGGAACCTCCGAGAGCCGGCCTAGCTGAGGGAGCCCAGCATGGTGGTCGGGAGAGGGAAACGTCCGTGACCGAGGAGGGGGGCTCCCGCAAGGTGGGGTGAGTTGGGGGGACACGCCCTCGAGGACTGCCCTCCCCACGCCCCAGGCCTGAGTCGCCCCCATTCCGCTCGTTCCTCCCTTCGGTTGTTGGGGGACGCCCCTGTTCTGTCCAAAGCCCGGGGTGGGGGAAGAGCAAGGATGAGACAGCCCCCTCCTCTGGGGGCCCGACAGTGAGGGGGGAAGGTAAGATCGCCCCCTCCCCTGGGAAACAAGACAGTGGGGGGGGGGAAATAAGATCACCCCCTCCCCGGGGGAACACGGGGGGGGGGGGGGGGAGGGTAAGCTCACCTCATCCCCGGGGAAACAAGGGGGGGGGGGGGGGAAGATCGCCCCCTCCCCTGGGGAGAGAGATGATTAGATAAAACAGCCCCTGCTGTGGGGGAGGGGGGTCCAGAGAGGTCTTGGAGATTGGGATTAGAGGAAATCTGGCATCTTCTCTGTCATTTAGCCAGAGACTTAATCCGTGGGTTTCCTGGCTTCTCTCTTCCCCCTCTTCTGCCAGTTGTCCCCAAAGTGACTGATGACCTCTTAGTCCCAGGCCTCACTTCTCTCTGGGTTTTTGTGATAAAGCTCTCCTGGTCTTTTGTCCAAGTTGTGCCTTATCTCCAGTGTCCCCCAGAGCTCGGTCCAGCGTCCCCCATTCTCTTCTTGCTCTGTACTGTTTCACTGTGTGATCTCCTTGGTTACCTCTCCCACCCATTTGCTCTCTACCTCCCTTCTTGCATTAAATTGTTCTTCCCACAGACATTCTATAGTCTCTTGTCTCCCTTATTGTTGTGGAGCTTCTTACCCCCCCCCCCCATAGCCTTCACTCTCACCCCTCCTATCAACTCCTTGTCAGGTCCTGCCAGTTTTCTCTTGGTTTCACTCCTCTGACAGGGCCCTCATCACCTCCTGCCTAGACTGTTAGAAGAGCCCTTTCTAGTCCATCCTCCACTCAGCTGCCCCCCTCCCATCTGAATGCTCCAGTGGCCTCCCCCCAAGATCGACCCCTCTGATGTTCCAAGGCCTTCTTCCTTAGACTGTCCTAGACGACACTCCTTAGTGTGCTCTGGACACTCCACTGGGCTGGGGGCATTTTCACTCACTGTCTCTCATGCCAGGGCTTCTCTCCTTCCTTATCTCTGTCTCCTGGCTTCTCTGAATTTCTTCAAAGTCTTACCTTCTGCAAAAAGCCTTTCCTGATCCACCTTCGTACTAATGCCTTCTTCCTGCTGATTAGGCCGTGGTCTTGTATCTGTCCTGTTTGTATGTAGTTTGCATGATGTCTTCCCCTGTTTATGTGAGCTCCTTGAGTGCAGGCACTGGCTTTTGCCTTTCTTTATCTCCCTCCCTAACCTTGCATACAGTAGGCATTTAATACAAGTTTTTTGAATCGATTTGACTACTGCTTCCCTTGGGGTTCTGGGAAGAACCCTAGTGGGTTGGGGCATCTAGCACTCTAGTTGCATTTAATGTGTTCCTCATTGTTGATCAGCCAGTAAAGCTGTAAGTGTCTGGAAGGGTAGAGCAAGAACAGTAAGTCCACAACATTTGCCTCAGCTTAGGGGAGCCTGTACATCCATACCAAGGTCCTTGGGGATGGTGGGCTCAAATTTAAAGTAATAATGAGAATGGCACACACGCTGAGAAAACATGTGTGACTGTTTCAATCCTTCTGATAACTTGGCCCTAGAAGCCCTTTTCTTACTTCGTAGAGACCTCATGAGGTTCTCATCGGTAGCTAATGTTTATACAGCACTTACTATATATCAGGCACTATGCTAAGCTCTTTACAATTATAGTCTCATTTGATTCTCACAACCACCCTTTTTTACACTTGAGGAAACTGGAGCATATGGGTTAAGTGATTTGCCATGAGGCCCAGTGTCTGAGGCTGGATTTGAAATTTGGTTTTCCTGATTCCAAGCCCAGTGCTCTGTCCCCTGAGCCACCTCACTGCCCATAGCTCTCTGCTGGGCTTGGTGAATCAGTGCTTTTCTAGAGGTCACAGTCAGCATTTCTCTTCTTTTGAGGGAGGGGCCAAGATCCCTGAAACTGCTGCTTTCCTTGAGGGCCATCTTGTCGTTGGCCACGACTTTTATATCAAACTCACTGACTCAGGTTGCTGGTGGGACCTCTCTGATAGACCCAACTCACTGATGATCTCCAAACTCTCCTCTCAGGATATTCATTCGCTTTTGACAGATCTGGAAAGGATAAATCCAAAAGAAGCCAGGGCATCATGTGCACTTACTTCTGACTGCCTCTTTGGAGCCATGATTGCTGCAGTCCACAACCTCTCTACCACCCACTGGATTGATCAGCTGCCCATCTGAGCAAGTTCTAAGGAATGAAGCTGGACTGGCTATTTCTCTCTTTAGATTATGATAAAAATGTAAGAAAAGTTTTCTAACAATGATATCGCTCCAAAATCAGGTGGCCTTGTTAATAAGGCAGGGAGTTTCTCCTTGTCAGGGGAGAACTTCGTGTTGAGGATTTTTTGGGTCGGGTTTGGGATTGGAGTCGATGGCATCTGAGGGCCCTCTGAGATTTCGAGAGGTTGGAAGAGAAGAGGAGTGAGCACGTTCCTTGGTTGGTAACCGTCGGTCCACATTTCCTGAAGCCGAAGTGCTTTCCAGAAAGAAGAGCTGTATGGCTCAGGAGATGGGAAAGTTGGGGTGAAAGAGGTTCTGGAACCTCTTTAAGTACATTTGTGGGAACATAAAAGTGGAGCTAGGTTATAAAAGCTTGGAGTGCCTTTTCAGGCAAAGTTGTGGGGAACCCTTTTTGATGAGCAGTGGGGAGGAAGGCTAATTAGCAACAACTGCAGTAGCGGGAGAAATGCTCAGGGTCCTGGCGGTGGGAAGAGAAGATAGCACCTTGCAGAGATGTGTTGGGGAATACCTAGAGAGGAATCCTGCATGGGTGGTGCAGGAAGGAGGAGGAGGAGACAGTGAGCTCAGGTTTGGATAGGTTGACTAGGACACCTATGTCCAGTGGTCTTTGGGAAAGGCTTGGGAGTGGATCCACTTGCAGAAGAAGAGAAGAGCTCCGAGAATAGAAGCCTGCAGACTGCCTAGGGTAGGAGGCATTGGCAGGGTGAGCCGGCAAGGTCACGTGTCATCCGGCACTTCCAGGACTGAGCACAGCTTAGCTTTGGGGTTCAGCAGCAGGGAAGATTGGTTTTAGTACAGTGGTGGTGACCGTTGCAGGAGGAGACGTGAATACAGTGGACTTTTGTGAGGTAGCTTTCTGCTGCAGGGGATAGAGTGCTCTACCTGGTCAGGAACATCTGAGTTCAAATCTTGCTTCAGACTAGCTGTGGTTGGCAATTTATTTAACTTCTGGCTGAAAAAATACTCTGTATCATTCATTGAGAAATGCAGAATAACAGTCCTGAGGTTCCATCTCATACCATCAGACTGGCAAAGATGATAGAAAAGGGAAATGAAGATTGTAGGAGGCACTGTGGGAGGACATGACCATTTTGTATGGCGGTGTGGAAATACGTTAAATAGATCATTATTAGGTCTATACCCCAAAGAAGTCAAGGAAAGAGGGCAAAGACCCACAGTACAAAAACATAGCAGTTTCTTGTTGTAGCAAATAGCTTTGAGCTGGGGCACCTGTCACTTGGGGAATAGAATATTGTTGCAGTGTGAGAAATGGTCAAAGGGATGGTTTGAGAGAAACCTAGGAAGGCTCATAGGAATTGATAGAGAGTGAAAGGAGCAGAACCTGGAAAACATTTTATGCAATAACGATACCGTTGAACAGAAAAGACTATTTTGAAAATCTTAATTTGGTGACCCTGACATTACTGATGTTACTAATTGTTTAGTTGTATCTGTAGGATTCCCTGAATAAATCATCACATCATCTCCATGTGTTAATTTTGTTTCCTGTTTGATTATGAGGCAGATAAATCACTCAGTGGATCAGGTGCTGGACCTGGAGTCAGGAAGACCAGAGTTCAGATCTTACCTCCGATGCATACTAACTGTTTGACTCTAGACATCTAACCCCTGCTTTAGTTTCTTCATCTGTAAATGCAGATGATAACAGTATCTGCCTCCTAGGGTTGTTGTGAGGGTAAAATAAAACGAGATTATATTTATATTTCTATTTCTAAAGCACTATGCAAACCTTCAAGTGTTAATACAAATACAAACCAATGTTGTTATTTCCTCCAGTTATTTTTCTTATTTTGTTGATGGTAGTCAGCATTTCTAGAACTATATTAAATAATTGCTGGAGAAGCCTCTAGGGTAAGGGGTGGAGAACTGCGGCTTCCAGGAGAACACGTGGCCTTCTAGGTCCTCAGGTGTGGCCTTTTGACTGAGTCCACGTTTTACGAACCGATCCTTTTACTGCTCTAGGGTTTTTCTGTTACAGATAATGTTAACTCTTGTTTTTATATTGAGCTGTGTAGTTTGCCGTATTAAGTAAAAGTCCATTTATTCCTGGTTTTTTGACATGAGTGTTTTATTTTGCCGAAAGTTCTTTTTATGTATTGGTATTTTAGTTTTTGATTTTTTTTTTTGTGATCAGTAACCTGTTTATAATATTCATGATGTTGAGCCAACCTTGTATGCTTGATAGAAGACGTAAAGCTTTTCATAACAAACCCTTTTCAGGAGCAGGGAGAGTGGACCACCACTACGTTTGGGCTCTTCACATCATGGTTCAAGAGGAGCTTCTTGAGCAAGCAGAAATGGCACTGAATAATTAAGAAAACCAAGTTGAGAAAAGAAGCTGGACTACGCTAAGTATATATGGGAAGGTCTGACCTGGTGCAGACGATGTGGTGAGAGAGTTAGGAAGTCAATGTTCACGATGTCTGATGGAGGGGAGATGCCACAACGTGACTTGGGCCTTCGAAGCAGAAACAAGGTGATTTATTGACCAGTGTGTCCGTTTTCACAATACTCCAAATGATCTACTTATGTAAGATGCTCGTTATCACAAGGGAACACACAAACTTGCAAACACAGTTGACCGAAGGATGTAGAGAATACGAGATCCCAGTGTGCTGCTTGGTTAAGCTCCCCTGCCCTACATGTGTCAATCACGCAAAGTCCTCAGAAAAAGCAGGTGTCAGCCAGGTCCTGGAGGAGCTCCAGCACAGGAATCTCTGTTCCACAAAGCTTCCCTCCATAGGAGCTCCATTTGTATCAAGCCCTGTAATACGCTGCAGAGCCTTTGGATAATGTTTGGCCCAACCACCTGCAATGAGGAAAAAAAATCCAAGCACCTCAAGAGTAACTGTTCTCTAGACCAAAGGAGGCAGTTAGTTAGAGGCAGGGACTGAAAAGGAACAATTGAATGAATCAGATCAGAGGAAGCTGGTCTGCATTGCCTTTGGGAATTTGGGCAACATTCTTATAATAATCTCAAACTCCTTCCTGCCGAACACATACCTGTCTTAACACCAGTAACCTCTTGTGATTGGTGGCTGTGGGGAGCCTGGAGCATCACAATTCTCCAAACAATCAGAAATGAGTAGCACCCAGAGGGCAGTAGGGGCACATGACAGACATGAAAAGGCTGCAGTACATGTCAGATAAGCATTTAGGAAGGAGAAACTTCATAAAGGATGCCACCAAAGGGATATGTGAACAGAAAAAAAATTACGGACCAGCACATAGTTGTTCATCCTTCATTTTCAAAGAGGATCAATGACATCACGATGTTGGGGTAAAATAGCAGGTGATGGGTGATAGTCTTGACTCGTGGTTGAATTGGATTTAAGAGAGGCAAAGTTGGCACACTCCCTTCAGGATAATTGACGGCCAGCCCTCCCTGCTCTGAAAAACCGTAGAGGGAAGTTTTGGGTTTCTTACCAAGTTGAGGTTTAAGATTTATTTTCACTGATTACAAATCTGTTGCAGTTATTCCCCAACATGTAATTCATATTGTATTTCTTAACATGGAGTATTCAAGAGACAATAACCTGTCTCCTCAGAATTGCTGGATTAGGTAACTATAGGAATTTAAATTTGTCCCACCTTGAATAGCGCAGTATTGTAAGGAGAGTTGTAAGGAGATGGAAGACCATGACTTCTGGTCCATAATGTTGATTTATTCCGAGTCTGTGCACGTCTTTTAAACACATCCTCACTTTTTCTGTCAGAACAATCAATAAGCTCCTGTTCGGGCCAGGACTGTGTTTCTTGATGAGGATACGAATATCAAAGTGAGACATCTCGCTTCAAGGAGCTTACAGTCTGTAGGGGACACAACATACTTACAGATAAGTAAATAAGTATGAAATAAATACATAGGGACGGGACAGGGCTCTCCTGGACTTACTATCTCATCCCACAAATCCATTCAGTTGCCAGGTCTTGGCATCTTTATCTTAGCAACATCTCTTCACTCACAGAGCTGCCTCCTTAGTTCAGGCCCCCCCTTGCCTGGACTCTTCTCATCACTCCTGTCCATTCTACACATTATCTCTAATTTGCCTTGATGGATGTAATAACTTCCTTTTAAGCACCATAATCCAACCAAATGGCCCTTTTCTCAGAGCTTAAGCTGACCTTTGAAGGAAGCTGGGAGTGCATTCCAGTTATGGAGGAGACAGTCTTTGAAAAGCCAAGTAAACTGGCAGTGGATAGCATAAAGGCCACTTTGGCTAAATCGTTTTGGGGCGGAGCATAATGTGTAATAAATCTGGAAAGGTAGACTGGAGGTGATTTATTATGAATTATCATACATGTAATATATAACTATGTAATATACATTAAATACCAAATAGAGGTATTTGATCCAAAAAGCAACAGACACCAGAGCCTTATTTTGACAGGATAGAGAGGTGGATGTGACGTGATCAGACTTGGATGGATTAGAGAGGGGAGACTTGATAAGGGCCTGAACTAGGGAAGGGATAGTTATCACAAAGGAGAGGAAGAGATGGATGGATGTGAGAAATGTGAAGATAGAATTGACAGAGTATAGAAATATTGGAGGAGAGTATGGAATCGGTTTTTGCCCTGAGGTTGAAAACTTGGCACTGGCAGTTTGGTAGTACCCTTGACAGAAATAGGAAAAAGGAGGGGGAAGATAAGAAGCTCTACTTTGGGCTAGCTGAGTTTGAAATCCCCAAGGAACACCTGGTTTGAGATGATCACTGGGCCCCAGAGGAATATTGTATTTGGGAGTTCTGATGATAGTGTTGCTGCCATGGAAGCTGATGACGTCACTGTGCCGGTCAGAGAACTGACCAGAAAACTCAGAGAAGTGCCAAGAAAGATGAGAAGTGAGAAGAGGCCTTTTAGTTTGGTGAGTGAGAAACTGTCAGCATTTTGGAAGAGAACAATTTCAGTTAGAAACCAGATTGCTTTGAGGTGTTGAGAAATCAGTGAATGGGAGAGAGGAAATTGTGGCAACAAG